ATGATTTGTGCACAACTGGCGGGCTTGAGTGGCATAGTTCTAGATAGCTTTTGCCAGGAGTTGGTTTTGGCAATTTTGCCGGAATTACCAAGCCTGGCATGTGACCCGCACGGTATCCAAGTCCTCAAACAACTTCTTGCATTGACCTCCCTGAACGTCGAGCTCCGTATGAAGCTGATCCATCGCTTGCAAGGATCTCTGTTCAAGCTGACCAAGGACCGGATGTTTCAATGTTTCAAGCTGTCCAATTGGGAGAAAGAATAGCTAAACCTTGAAGGACAAACATGGATGTTGGCTTGTGCAACAAGCACTGCAGAGTGCACCTTCAGAGCTTCAGTCGGCCTTTGCGCTGGAGCTGAAGGGCAAGGTTTTGCAATGCAGCCAGCACTTGCATGGCAACTTTGTCCTGCAGAAATGCGTAGAGCTTCTTCCAACTGATGCTGTGTCCTTTATCATCATGGAATTGCAGGACCACGTAGTGGAGGCAGCGCTGCATGTGTACTCTTGCCGTGTCCTACAGAGACTCATTGAACACTGTCAACACTGGCGACTTGAGATGAGCAACCTTTTGAATTCACTCTTGCAAGAGGACTCTCTGAAAAGGCTGATCATTGATCCGTATGGCAACAACGTCGTACGTGCAATTTTGTCGTGTGGAAGTGCTGTGCATGTGCAACAGATTGTGGAAGCATTGGCCAGCGAGGATACTGACTTGCTGGCTTATGCTCGGAATCGGCATGCAAGCCTTGTACTAGAGAAATGCCTAGAAGCAATGAACGAGCACTGCGACGATGCTGAAGTACTACAATCAGCTAGAGCCAAGCTGATGGGAGCACTTCTAGGCGATGGTGATGAGACTGTGACTCCACCGTTTGCGCAAATTGCGTTAGACCGGTTCGGGAACTACATTGCCCAGAGAGTGATCGATATTTGTCAGGCTGATGAGCAACAGCGAGTCTTGAGGCTTTTGGGCAGTCTGGGTCCAAAGTTGCGGCGGGCGGCGAATGGCAGGCATATTTTGCAAGCTGCTCGGAAGAAGTTTGGCTCAACACTTAGTGTTACTGGAGCTGCGTCGGAGTGACTGGTCACCATGATCACTGGGCTGCGACGGACCTTTCACACCGTCTGAATTTGCATGAATGCATAGGACTGTACAGCTGAATTCACTGCCCTGTGACAACCATGCAGGATACGGGGCTGTTGCTTAACGGCCACATTCAAGTGATCGGTCCTTGCCAAATGGTTTGCAGGGCTTACAAAGGCTCTTTATGTAGCCGTCTCAGAGGGAGCCACATGCATGAAATGACACGTCTCCGTAAAATTGCGGAAGGCATCTCATTTCGCGCTTTGTAGGGCAGTCAGCTCAGCCGTTTGAATCTGCGCTGAGCTTTTTCGGTCTTGACGATGCATCGTCCTAATCCGATCCGAAACTCTCTTGAACACCTCGAAGGAGGAAGGCGTTGCCAAGCGAGAGAGCTTCGGGCTTGCTTTGTACAGAATAGCTTTTGTAGCTTGCTGTTTGCAATTTGCATGTGGACATTACAGCGTGATCAAAATGAGTCGAGATCCCGAGTGGCCTGGATAGACGAGGATCGTTTTGTCCGAGTGGCTCGAGTTGATAGCCATTTAGAGATCGAGGGCACCGATGCAGGCAGACTGCAGACTGATTCAAATATTTGAAGCATTCACCTCATGTCTTTTGCGCTCGCAGGCCTTGGAGTCCAGGCCCTCAACTCGCAATTGCCGTCGCTGAATTTGAGCTCGGCAAATCGGCAGGTCACCAAACCCCAAAATGGCGCTGTCACCTCTGCCATGACCTTACTTGAGGTGAGCGATGCGCAACTTGCGCCAGCTTTGTTCAGGTCTATCTCAGCTAGTTTGACTCCATCTTCTAAGGAGATCGTGTCGACGTCGGCATGTTCGTGTGGTTTGCCTTGCAGAGTATCCAGATGTCGATGTGATATATATATGTATATATATATATAATATATATATATATATATAATATATATATATATATATATATAAGAGCATTCTGTATTCCTTGCGCAGTTAAGGTTGTAGGCTGATCGCGATGCACGGTGCAAACTGCTTGTCGGGCATTTCTGTGAAATTTCAGCACGTGCTGGTTGGGTTTCGATGCAGGTATCGGAGCCATTATTTTGAATCTATGCCTGTATGCCACAACCAATGCAGGACAAAGATAAGAAGAAAGACAGTGCGGTGGTTCTCCAGCTCACCAAAACCAAAATGTGCACTCCCTTCTTGCATGGGAAAGGCAACCTAAGGTGCGACACACTAAGGTGTGCCTTTTTCGAGAGAGGAAAGTGCTCCTCCGAGACCTGCAGGCTCACTGGCCGCTGGCCTGTTGAGTCTAAGATCTTTCTGCTTGAGGTATGCGCATTCACAAGATGAGCTGCGGCGTGCTCCAAATCTTCAGAAGACGAAGCTGTGCAAGTGCGCTCGATCGCCAGGTATGCCAGGTGTTGTAGACGTGACTGTTCATGTCAGGTCCTTTCTACAGGGAAGATGCAGGGATGGCGAGAACTGTTCGTGACATGCTCAGCTATGGATGAGATCTGATGACATCTGTGCCGACCCAGAAGACTTCCGACTTGAGCCAAGGTTTGCCCATGGCGAAGGCGACCTTCGTGTGACGGATGGAATCTACAAAACCCAGATGTGTAACTTCTATGAGCGTGGTTACTGCAAGAAGGCGCTTGCATATGATTTGCAGCAGTCGCGATGGCATTGCGTATTCGTCTCCAGGGTGACCGCTGCAATCATGCTCATGGTGACAGAGATTTGCGGCCTGCGGCCAGCCCACAAAAAACTCCCGTCAAAGAGAGAGGCTCGCAGAGCGAAGCTATTGCGCTTGAGTGACAAGCCTTTCATGTTTGCGATTGCACTTGAGTGAGCCCTTTTGTGTTCACAGGACAAGAGTGCTCGCTGCAGACACCGGATGCACCAACACCGCCAAAGCTGGATGTAGGATTAGCGGGATTTTGAGCTTCGGTCGCGCACAAGGCGCATTGGGCGTCTATTGCAGGAGACAGAAGCCCAGAGCCCCGAAAGGGACGCGTGGCGCTGGCGGAGCTGCTACCTACGCAGGAGTCCGAAATCCAAAGCCGACAAAAAGCTCGAATGTTGCGTAAGCTTCTGAGTCCCTCTGCTCTCCAGGAGGAGACGAGTGTACGCAGCCCAGCATTGCTATGCTTTACCTTTGAGCCCTTTGTCATATCTGGAGGTGTTGAGCAGGGCAACCCTCGCCTTTGCCCTGCCAGCTCCGCTATCTTGGACATCGTGAGCCCACTGATTTTGGTAGACGCAATCACACTGAGCTGCTACGTGCATACAGGTACCAGATGTCTCCAACTCCATACAGCTTTCTTCTTAGTGCAATTCAGCTGATACTTCGCTGAACTGGCGCATTGATTGAGCGGATGCAGCACTCCAAGGTGATCATGCACGTTTGACATGTGCCACTCTATTGGCCTTCCAGAACGTGAAAGGTTGTAAGACAGTTTTGAAGTATCGCCATGATCAGATGGCTCAGTCAAACGGCATGAACCATTAACAAGCCCCTTGACAATCCTTGACAATGGTATGGCTTCAGCGACAAGAAAGTTGGACATCTGATCAGTTCGCAGATTAGTGCTACACCCCGGTTCATCAGCACCACCACGCAGTCACCCACTAGGCGAGTGCGGCCTGGTACCCACCAAACAGCACATTGCCATGTTCAGGCCACCTTATAAGCCTCACACAGTGTTTTTTGTTCTCCGTTACCCGATTAATTGTTGCCACAGCCCAAGGCTGGAGGGGATTTGCCAGCAGTCTCTAGCTGTGCTGATTGATTGACAGCTTTGAGGCCAAGAGCCAGCGACACCTTTGAGGATGCTAGATCCGGTGCGCTTGGATCTGATTGGAGGGCTTTGTGGTTTTGTATTTGTCTGAGGTTGACATGCTGGTTGACTCTGGGCGAAGAGAGATGCCAGCGCCCTACTGAGGGTGCGCTGGAGAGAAATCCGCCGCACACTTAGGCTGACGCCAATGTCCTGGTCTGTGTCGCCACAAGTGCCTCAACTGCCGTGGTCTCCGTGTGGTCCACCTCCGGGTCTGACACAGGCGGCACGTGAGTCGTGCCACAGTGCTCTAGGCCTATGCGACAGAAATAGCACAAGTAACTTTCAAATAACTTTCATAGACAAAAAACATGTCATAGACAAAGATGCGCCATTTGGAGGCAGACGTGTGCGGCCGGGCTCTTGAGGGCACGGGAGAGTTGGGGGAAGCCAGTTGTCGAGGCGATGGGGAGGCGCTTGGCCACAGCCAAGAAAAGGATTTGGTACAAAGCCGGGCAAGCCTTGACGAGGCGTTCCAGGTGGGCAATGTTGGTTTGGACAAAGTTTCACTTGGATTCACCTCAGGGCTTCCAGTCAGCCGTGGAGGCGAGGTGCAAATGAGTCAGATTCCCGAACACATTGGCTTTTGCAGGAATGGCGAGCGCAATAGCACGCCTCAATTCACAGCGGCGTTTGCATCCAATTGGCGTTTGCATCCTTTTCAGCCTTTCAGCATGCTGCGATTTTTTGGCGCGCAATGTGTGTGGCTTCCAAGAGGTGCAATGCGGCCTTGCCGACTGCTCTGCTCTGCTTTGGAGCCTGTAGGATAAGTTAAAGCTGACCCGACGTTGCCGGGCGTCAGACATATTATGTTTGGCGCTGACTTTGACGCATGTAGTTTTTTGCTTTCAGAAGCTGAACCTGTCCAGCGCTCTGTCAGGGTGGTCATGTCAACTCGTCCAAGTGAGCATTGAACGATCATGAAGCAATTTGCCTTTGCCGGCCACCCTGCAGACTTACTCTGTGCGCAGAGATAGCTTTTCATGGTGCCATGTCTCAAAGGCATACGTTTGGTGCTTTCCTCGTCCTGCTTGAAGTTCGTTTAAGACACATCAAGCATTCTGAACTTTCAGGAGAGGATCACACCGAAAATTTGCGCCATGGTCGAAAGCCATTGCTTCCATGCTTTCGGAAGCTACATGGGTGTGGACCTGCTGGGGCTAGGTGCAGGCGAAAATGTGCAAATAGGGCTTAGCGATTCGCAACTAGACATCCTTTGGCATCCCCGTGTCTCCATTGCCACAATCCCTGTCCTTGGCTGCCGCATCTGTCTGCCAGCCTGTCAGCCTGAAATCCACATCAACATGTGGCACGCATATCCAGCATCGGCATGCTGACTCGCAGCAGCGCTGACAACCTATATGTTTAGTACTATCAACAGGGACCCCATAACTTGCAGGAATTCTCAGGATTTGCTGAATGCGCAAGAGGTGATTGTAGGCAGGGTAGCCAATTCGCAGTGCTAGATGCCACATTTTCCATGACTGGAAGGACCATGGCATCCAAGGGAGAATCCAAGGACTCACAGCGTGGACAGGGACAAAGCATCGGAAGAAGTAGCTGTGCAGCCAGGAGAAGCGGAAGGACAAGAAAGAGAGCTCAAGGGCTAAGAAGCATGGTGACAAGTCTGACAAGCAGAAGTCCAGCTAACGCCTCAGTTTCGTCCAACTCATTGCCCCAGTTCTCTTGGCGTGCTGAGAACGGGAGCACAGCAAGGCACTGCCCTTAGTTTGCTTGCCCCGCGACAATTCAGAGAATGTGTGGACGTCAGGTTGAGAAGGAGGCCAAAGAACGTCGCGAGTCCGGCACAAAGCGCAAAGCCGAGGAGGCTCCCGGATTTGGACTTTCTTAGAGTGTCGGCGCTGCCAGATTTTTACGTGTCATTTTGATTCAGGCAAAGGACAAACGGAAAAAAGGAAAGGAAAAGAAGCAACCGACGCAGGACGCGTTGTGCTTGGGACTTGCCACCCCATGCGCTGTACTTGCAGGAGGACCAGGATGACCGGCGACGATCGCAAGGAGGAGCTGCGGATGTGAAGAATGGGAACCGGGAAAAGCCAGGAAAGGAGGAGAGAACAACGGTGCGTTCTGCTCCAGAATCCAACGACAAATCCTCCAAGCGAGAACGACGGCGTCAGGGACCGTGTGCAGCTGAACCATTGGATACCGAGCTTGGTGCGCAGAAAGGAGGGAGTTCAGGCAGTCGAGCGTCGCCTGCTCGAATTGAACTCAAGCCTTCCCCAGTTCCGGAGCCAAAAGCCATGGTGAGCGCATCGAGCGAAAGCGAGACGTCTGGCATCAAGCGTCGGAAGCGCCGAGAGAATGCGGGCCTCAAGGCGGCAACAGGCTTTGGCCTTGCACCGCGTGGGCCGCAGAGAGAGAGAGAGAGAGAGAGAGAGAGAGACAGAGAGAGAGCGAGAGAGCGAGAGATAGAGATAGAGTAGAGCAAGAGAGCAATGGTCGACATTCGATGTCATCTACAGTGGTAAATTGAAACTTGCCCCTAGAACAGGAGCATTACCTACCAAAGTCTCATGTCAGGTGACTGGTGGGGACATGAATACGGGCCCTCGCACTGCGATCCCGAGGCCTCCGCCAGCACCAGACGTGCACGCCCAAGCTTAGGGCCACGGGCCCGCTTGAGAGCTGTGAGACTGAGGCTGGCTTCGGCTTAAGCGGCTTGCCCATGTGCGCCCATTGATTCCAAGTGTTGGGCACCTGTGCCTTTTGGGAGGTACGGTCCGTCCAGCTTGATGCCTTTGCCAGACAAGGACGGGGCACTGTACTTGGATGCGCTTGGATGCCTGAAGCGTGTTCTGAAAGGTGAAAGGTCTCCTGGAGCACAAGGCACGGCTTGTTTCATCACAAGCAACAAAATGGATCCTCGCTTAAGGACACTTTGGCGCAGGAGGTGTTACGCATGAAGATGGCGGTGGAGGCTAGCTACTGCCCCAAGCTTTCACTGGTCTTTCGCTTGTGTGTGAGGCTGCCACAGGCGTTCCCGGCATGAAGCTGGATAGCAAGGAAGACCCTGCTGAAACTGTACGCCCCATTGGCCTTCGCTGATTTACCTGATCACTCTTTGTGTTGCTCAGACCTTGAAGATGCCCACGCGGCTCACAGACTGCCTCATGGACCCTGACAACCATGCAAAGCTCCTGTCCAAGACGGGCCTGCTGTCGGTGATGCAGAATGAGGCTCTTTTGGGAATGCACCGCCGGCCTGGCAACCCGCCGTGTCTTCAGGAGAAGCACCTGGTGCTGCGCGCACCATCTCGTCGGCAGCTACAGAAAACACTTGGCTCGCTGCGCCGGATAGCGTTCGGAGCCAAGCCAGAAGGCAGACTGTCGGATGGCCTTGCAGTTTCAGAGGTGGGCATGTCAGTGGGGCTGTAGCTCTCCAAAGGCCAGCGAGCCATATGCATGGAACAATTGCGAAAAAGAACTTCAGGTGGGTGCTCTGCTGGCCGACAAGCCAGCAGCAGCCCAAGTGCACGTGCAGCGCCGCATGTTGGTTTTCGCTTCTCAGGCCAAAGCTGTGAACTCCATGGTGCTGCGACTGGCGGCTACCTCCAGTCGACTGTCGTCCCATGATGTCGTGGCCTGAGATCATGGGACATCATGGACATCATGGGGCATCATGGAATGGGAAGGATGTCTTTTCCTAGGCGAAGCTCAGCGCCAAGATGCGCAAGCTTCGACTGGGCACACAGGCATGGAGTATATGACTGCAACATTGGATGCATGTGAATGCACGACGTGGCTGCTCGCGAATGCACGCCGTGGATGCATGTGGATGCACGTGGATGCATTGAGCATTCGGAACTCTCCGCAAATGATGCTTGCACTCTGCTAGGCAGGCCCTGGAATGCTGGTTTTGGAAGGCATACCCGGACTGTCGCGGAAGCATTGCCCGGGCCTCGTAGTATAGTGCCAGTATTACTCACGGGCAATACAGGCCGTTTCAACCACATGGGCCTTTGCAGGCACCATCACTTTCGAGCCTGAGAAGGGCGCTTGCTACGTCCAGGATGGGACTGCCAATGGCAAGAACTGTCACTGGCCGCCTGGACAGGACGTGTCCACCAATGGCACATACCTGAACGGCAAGCGGCTACCGAGACCTCCCTTCAAGAATCCTTCGGACCCCCTTTTTCTCATCCTACTCGTTTAGATTGTGTTGGCAATCTGCGATGATGGTGCGAGGATGCTCGAGTGCGACTGTTCCACGGGGACGAGCTGCTCTTCAAGTGGCTTGCCTGAATCTGTCGCCTGCTGCTTTGCACGTGGCATGCTTTGCCAAGCCATGATTAGAATTGAAAGGCTACGAACGGATGATGCGGAGGAACTCGGATACGCTTTCGCCTAAGCTGCGGCATTGTGCAGACGTAGTGAATGCTTCTCATGCTGGAATGTAGCTCAGGTGATCAATTTGGTTGAGCTAAACTGATTGGTCCTGCAAGACCGCCGGACCAGGGTGATGGCGCCTGAATAAATGCCAATCTTGTGCTTGGCAATGCAATTGCAGGTTGCGCAGCAGGAACAGCATGTCAACATATCTGATGCATGCATCTCTCTCGCTCTTCCTCTCTTCCTCTCCTAGCCAGTCTCTTCACTGGACATTTACAGCTTCTCATCTTCCTGGTATCAGAAGAGGATCCAGGCTCGGTTTGGAGCAATTTTTAGCCCAAGCGACCAAGTGCACCAAAACCAGCATTGCCTCCAACACTGGACCAGCCAGCTGCATGATTTCTTATGGTAGATGACGCTGCCGCCGGTGCGACCGCCAGCCAAAGCTGGACGGAAGGGCAAATTTACGCAGCGCACGCTGCCGGGGGCTTAAGCCGGCAAGTCATCGGGGAGCGGCTATGCGCTGTGCACGTCATGCGCCTTCTGAGGCTAGATGCCACTGACTTGCCTGCTCCCGGTTTCGTGCAAGCGTTCTGCGCCAGTCAGCAGCTTTCGCAGGCATTAGGGGCAGATCGTCATTCTAGCGCGAATGGCCAGGCAGGCATATCTTGCGCAGGGTGAGTTGCATTCAGCATGCTGCAGTGTGAAGGTTGCATACTTGAAGAAGAAGAACTTGCCGGCATGTTTTCTGTCTGTTTCTTCCAAACTTTAGTGTTCATTTTCAACAAGACAGCCAGGCAGCAGCAACTCGCCTACGTGGAGGATGCGAGGCGACGAGAGCAGCCTCCTTTGGACGCCATCGCGGCGCCTGAAATTCTTCGCGGCGAGTTGTGCCGGGCTTAGCCATGGGAGCCGCGATGGCCAAAACGGATTTCGGATGTTGGATTGCCAGGAGGAGAGACGCCGTGTTTCACCATGGGGCTGCCGGCGTTCCGGCGCCTGTGTCGGGCGCGGCAGCTCTGGATGTGGGCGATCTGCATGGTGGGGGCATCCCGCTGGTGAACGTGGGCAACGAGGCGAATGCGTGCCGCGAGAAGCGCCTGGAGCGGCAGAAGGAGTTCATCGCCTCGCGGAAGCTGCGGCACGACGCCGCGCTGGAGGACTTCCAACGGGCCCTGGACGTGCTCTCGGAAGACTGCCAGCGAGAGGTCGAAGCAGCCACCGACCGAGTCAAAAAGGACCTGGACTTCAAGGTCACAGAGTGCAACCAAATCTTAGAGCCCTTGGAGCCACCACCACTTCCTCCCAAATCTGAGGATGATCCAGAAACCGGCGAGACCAACGAGGCTAACATCCTGGACGATCTGGAGGATTTGCCATTGGATGGCACCATAGATCCTGCAACAGCCAAAGCTGTGGCTGCAGAGAACGCAGCTCTGAAGGCCTTGCGTGCCTTGGGCGAGCGCACTGAGGGAGAAGTCCGTGGAATTCTCGCTTCTCTTGAGGCAGGCCAGCACCCTCTGTAGTCGCGCACAATGCATCAACATCAACTAGAAAACATCTTTCAATAAGTTTGCATAGAAGAACCGCCTGCCATGGCGCATGTAGAGTCACTGGGAAGCTAATTCAATGTGTGTGAGTAAAGCCGACCAAGATTCAGGTTTATTTACAAGGGATCAGATGCAGTCATGAGATCCTGAGCTGCATTTTCAGAGCTCCCTGTGAAGAAGCAATGGGTTCATGGTCTTGTGTGCACACAAAACACCAAGTTTGCAGCACAACCAACAACAAACCGCTGCCCGGGCGCGATCAAACTCTCGTGCTTGTGATTTATGCTAAGACGCAGTCCAATGTGTGCGTACGCCTGTTTTTACCATCCCTTGCACTGTGCGCTCCAGTTCTCAATCTGGCACAAGTCTGGCAGATGTCGTTTAGCTGTTGGCAGATTGCTCACGATTGCTCACTAGTGTTCAGGCTGTCGTAAGTCGCGATCTCATCTCTCAGGCGTGCACGGCCAACCGGAGAAAGCGCATCCAGGATTTCGCAGGGCCAGATGGTGAGCTGGCGCGCATCGACGAGCTGCGCAAGACCAGCATGGAGGATCTCCTGAAGCGCTTGGTGGAGGCACGTGTCGTTTCTCCCGTTGGTCCCAGACAAACAGCACAAAACAGAGGGTGTCCCTTTGTCTTCATGCAAGCCGTCAGGGGAAACAACTAACACATACATCATGCACTTGAAGTGCTTCTTGTTTGACGCGTCAGGCTCTCACGGCAGCTGCGCATGTTGTGCACGGCGAAGCTGAGCGTTTGGTAGAAGCGCGTGTGTGGCTCCCAAGCACAAGAAAAGGGCTCTTTTGCCACCTCCGCGTGCAAGGCCACGTCCTTCAATGAGGTCATTCTGGAGAACAGGCATCGGAATGAGAAAAGAGACACAAGAATCGGCGATCGCTTGCAAGGAAGGCCATGCGCGACCTGGAGGCGAAGCTGACGGTGTGGCCCTCGCAGTTCGCGCGCTTCGCGTGGCTCACATTTTTGTTATCAGGTGCAGACATTGGAGGACAGCAAAAGCTACAAGGCGCAGTGATGCGATATGGCGCGGGTGCAGTGGTGCTGGCGCGGGGACTTGCCGTGGTTCGAGAGTTTGCAACTCCGGAGGTGCGTTGGCACCAAGGGCTTCTGCTTTGGAAGCAGCAAAGGCGCGGTCCTGATCTCTTTCAGCTTGCCAGACGGGCCTAGCTGCTGCGTTCTCAATTCAGATGCCCAGGCACCGTCACAGCATGGCCGTGGTGATGAGACGCATTCGCAGACGAATGCTCAGAACGCTTCTTTAGAAGATGCGAGTCGCGGACGTGCAACCGGAACCTGATTTGACCGAAGGCAATGAATTCCGGCAACCAGACTCGCTAGTGGAGGCCTTCCAACAGTGTGTGGAAAGGTTTCCACTTCTTTGCACTCTTTGTTCAGGCGGTTGGCAAGGTGAGGGAGCACCAAGCTTACGTTTTCGACCAGCGCAAAGATCTGATTGAGGAGTCGCAGCCTCAGTGCAGCTGCCAGTTCTGCATGCTGACTTATTGCAACTGAAGGCTCTTCTGCATTCCTCAGCAGCGCCTGACGGTGGTCAGCCCACTCAGCAGCATCAATTCTACTTCTGCCAGCCTCGATTGCCTTACAAGGCGGCAGTGCGCAATTTGGAGGAGCAGAATACGCAGCTAAATGCGTGTGCCTTTTATTGGGCCATTCGCAAATGGCTGCTTGCCGGTCTAAGGACAGAGCGCAAGAGACCTTCGATACCTTGCTTGTGGATTTGCGAGAGCTCCGTGAAGCCTTGAACGTGCCTCTGTCAGTTTCGTGGGGCCTGTGTGACTCATGCCATATTGCGTTTGCACGTTTGCGCCGACAGTTGATGGACAAAAGTCCGGAGGTATCTGCAGAGCAGATGCTGGGCGAGCTGGGCCTGGAGCTAGAAGTGCACGATGCCCGCCAGGCCTGGACTCGCGTGTCGTTAACATGAGTTGGTCGCTGCAAAGAATGCGCAATACAACACATGGGTTGAGCCTTTCAGGAATGGAAAGGCCATGACTCGGTGGCCAACCTCATTGACGCAGACGTTCCGAGCTCAAGCTTCCGCTGCTTTGCCCTGCGAAAATGCATTTGAGGTGCGGCCTCCACTGCGGGAGTGTTTGGACCAGGCGATGTGAATGCAAATGCGCGGCACGCACTTGCAAGGGTCGAGCGCACGCGGGGCTTGGCTCAGGTGGCTTCAATGCTCCATGCACTTTCAAACAAGCTCACGCATCAAGAGGAGGCCTGCTGCATTCTGAGGGTATGCAGAGCGTGCAAGGCACAATGATATTGCAAGTAAGCAAGCACATAAGCATATGAGCTTGACTCAAGTGCAGATGGGTTCTCACAATTTTGCGGAGGCCTTGCATCTGGCGGTCACGGGCGTTCTGACCTTCTTCTCGGGCCTTGCCAAGCGGCAAGAGACTTTGAAGAAGAGGGTGGAGGAGTTTGAGGTAAATTACAACGGTGAGGTCGAAGACTGCGAAAAGGACTTTGAAGACACTTGTGAGCGAAATGAGAACAGGATGAAGGAGCTGCATGACGCCATAAACGATGCGGCACACCATGAGACGCTCGATGAGTTGAAGCAGCAGACCTTCGAGCATTTGGATCAGATGGCTGTTGGCTATCGAGACCACGCGGATCAGCTTCTGGGAATCCACAATCGCTATCCAGGGGAAGCGCAGGCTCTAATTCGGAAGGAAACTCGTGGCTATTGCCAGGACTGGGATAGCTTCGGCAAAGGCTCCGATCCTCTCGGCTCGCGGATAGTGAAATTGAAGTTCCCTAGTGAGTTTCATTCTTCCCGTCGACTGCTTTCCAAGCTTTGTATTCCTTCCGAGCTCTGAAGCCACGTTTGGGAGGATCTTGGCCTGGCACTGGACCCGTCGGAAGAGACAGTGGCGTTGGCGGCTGAGCGCAGGGCTGCAACTGCAGCGCTTGAAGCTGAAGCGGCTGCTGCTGCGGAGGCATTTTTATGTTTTGCACGACAAGAGCAGTCTGTGAGTCAACGAATCTTGCTTGTTTCTGTTTTTTTGGGGATTGTTCTTCATATATGCGCGCGTGTGTGTGTGTGTGTGGCATATGCAGATTCGTCAGATGTGTGTGTGTGTGTGTGTGTGTGTGTGTGTGTTTCTGCGAAGCCTCCAACATGATCATGCATGCTCAGTTTTGCAATAACACATGTAGACTTGGTGGAGCAAGAAGGGTGCGGTCACTAACATGCTCAGCATTGCCCGGTGAGCACACACGCACACACACACACACATACAAACACAAACTGTGAACACATGACTTAAGCTAGTAAGCAGCGTTGATATCAAAAGAGTGGGTTGCGGAATCGTCGGATGTTTGTTTCAGACTCTGGCTTCCTGAAACTAGTTGCCTCGTAGCGGCGCCCCGCGGCAATAGACTTGCCATTGCCGCAGGCTGCGCATGCGCCAGTTCCAGGCGAGGATGAGGCAACCGCGGCAGCCCGGCGAGAAGCAATGACAACTGCAGTCGAAGCAGCCAAAGCAGAGGTGCGCCAGGCAAGGCGTTGTTCGCTTCACCACCAATGTCTGAAAGGCTTAAATGTCCCAGCACACTTGGCAAACCTTTGATGATGATTATCACTTATCTCAATAGCCATGCACAGGTTACTTCTCTGTTTAGAGCCTCTTCCTTTGGCATCTTGAGCAGTTCATGATCTGATGCAGCCACATCCCAGCAGAAACAAGGATCATTCGGGCGGCCAGTGAACGGAGCACTGGATGCGTGATGAGATCCGAAATGCAACTGCTATCCCTGAGGCCGCCGAAGCCAAAGAAGCTGAGGCAGTACAGGCAGAAGCTGCTGCCTTCGAAGGGCTCGAAGAGAAGAGCGAATGGCCGAGCGAGGGCACTGGCTGCAAGGTCCTGGAAAAGAATTCCTTGCCAGAGATGAGGGAGGTAGTGTTGCAGGAGCCAGAAGAAGCTCCAGAAGAAGCGGAAGAGGGTGAGACCGCACAGGGCGAGCCGCTGTTTGCAGATGGAACGCCGGCGCTGGATACCCTGGCATTCGATCACATGTGGTTCGAGGACAACTTGTCGGGGCTGCGCGAGGCCATCTTCCAAAACCTGGAGAGTCAGAAGCGCTACCTTGATCGAGTTGACATCCCCGCAGCCTGTGAAGAAGTTCGAAGAGACCTGGATCAGCGATTGCGGCGACACACCAATCGCAAGGGTGAAGTTCAGGCAAGAGAGCGTCCAAGAACGATTTTGTCATGATGCTAAGCAACTGAAGCTCAAAGAAAGGCAGAATATATCTTTTGCATTGCTTCCACTTGGTGTGAAAGGCGTGCATTTCGCTTGCTTGCGCACATGCAGGTAGAATGGTACGTCCCCCGGTACGGCATGGTCTCCAAGCACAAGGATGGACTTGGGCAGCCTTGGAGTATGTTCAATTGCACTTGAGCGCAAGTCACAAGCCTTCATCAGGACAAGTTCGAGAGACACTTGGTCACCGTGGCTCGCAAGTGTCAAGACCAAGACGATGCTGTTGAGAAGACTCTTCAAGAAGCCGATGAAGCAGAGCAAGAGTCCGGCCCAAGAACTCATTCGCAATCCTGACCTAGCACTTGTGGATTGAGGTTTCAACAACGCATCACGAGCCTCCAGGACGGCCTTCATCCGAGCTAGATGCAAGCAAGTGATCAGAAGGCTTGTGTCACGCCTGTCACAGGACCGCCTTGGAGAAGTGGCGAGCTAAGTTCCGATGCAGACGACATGGACTGCACATGCAATGACACGCCAAAATGCCGTTGTTAGGCTGAGACACTACCTGTTCTGACGTCCTTTGAACGACAGGCCAGTGGTGAGGTCGCGACTCGATTCCAGTTTGTCCTTTCAGCGGCAAAGGATATGTCAGCGGCAACCACCACAATCACAGCAATCAACCAGCGATGCTTTGGATTACGAACTATGGGAGAGCTAGCGACTGAATCATGGCCCTGCACACTACAAAGCTCCCGACATGGGAGTGGTTTGACAACCCTTCCGAATCGTCATCCCTGGCAAGGACAATGTTTGAAACAAGCGGCCCACGTCGCCAGGCTTCTGACCTACTTGCGGGCTTCAAAGACTTCTGCAAGTCTGCAGTGAAGCGGCTACTAGAGTTCAGCAGCAAAGCGCCGCAGGTGGACCTGCTTGGCTCTCTGCTTGCAGATGTTTGCATTGCTTTCAGGCTCTTCAGAAGGACAACCAGGCCTTTCTCATGATGTGCAAAAAGGGTGATGAGCAGTACAGCGAGCCCGAAATCCTCTACTATGGCGGGGAGGCCAGCTCGGGAGGGGTGTCGACCTTTCCCCGTGTGACTTCGGAGTTCCCACGTTGCATTTCACTTTGGCTCCGGGACAGATCGAAGAGCTCAACCGGACTCTGGATGAGCGAATGCAGCAGCGAGCCCAGCTCGCCACAGGCTCAGTGGCAAGCAGAAAGTGCAACTTGCCATTCGTCAGATGCCATTCAGGCCCAGGATTTGGAGAGCCAGATCGAGGAGAAATGCAAAGCAATGGGCTTAGCGAAGCCACGGCACAAGCAGGTGGTACTTTCACCTATGCATCTATCGATGAATGCCATGCTTACTGAAGCCTGACAGTACTTCTCCCTGATGGATTCAATCCTTGTTTCACCAACTGTATCTTGTTGTTGATATAATATGTTGTTCAGGCGACCCCCTCAGTCTTGAAGGCAAACTAATGCCAGAGAGATGACATGTCGTTCGATGAAAAACGATATCATGAGTGAGTCGTTCATGGGATGATGCACTAAAGTTCCACTCATCAAGCAGGTGTCCCTTCTTTGCCTTGGATGTGAACCACTCACTTCGTGTATCCCTGCTTCCAAGTTTGCTGCTGGCTTCATAGATGGCATCCTTGTCATGGCCGCATTTGGTAGAAGCGCGGACGGGTCGTATTTTTCCCGATGCGGCTGAATTGGACTTAGTATCCAGAAACCCGATACACTGAAGCAACCTCTGTGTTGCCAAAAGCTGAGCACTATGAAATTTGCAATCGGAGCTTCGTTGCCTCTCATAGAGAAGCGGTTCTGGCTCAGTGTGCGCCGGGGCTGGAAGACGGACACATGTACATGATACCATGGCTGAACAAGTCTTAAGAGTCTTAACTAAGTATTCAACACAATGTTAGAGTCTTGCATGTTACAATGTTTGAGCTTCTTTCCGCCTGCACATGCCATACTGTCTACTCATGACACTACCGCGAGGTCGTCATTAATTGTGCCTCTCACCAGGCACCGATGCAAACATTTGCTGCCGCCTACGCCACTGCCGTGGAGTCTCTATGTGCCAGTCGACAGCCAGCATTTATACATTCATGCCTTGAAGCCTGATTTACATGCGGGGGTATTCAGCATCCCAGGCAAAGGTTATGGCCGGAAATATGGCGAACCTCGCCGCAAGGCACAGGAGCGAGTGCGCCGCTCCGACTGGATTGGCAAGGGCGAGGGGAGTGGTAGTGAGAAAGGTGCAACGAGTGCACGAATGGCCAGGCACCCTCATTGCTCGAGCAACCACCGTTCATTCCAACATTGAGCTACTGCTGGAGTACGTCTCGGACTTTGATGCATCGCGAAGTTGGACAAGAAGTTGGCTCGTTGTTCATCTGAAATAGAATGTGAGTCAGGTCAGGCAACTGTTGAACCTTCCTCCGCCAGAAGATGGAGGCCAAGTGAATTCATTTTCTGACAAAATTACTGGTGGGGAGGACATGCCGGGCCCAACCCAAACTTCCCCGGGCCTACCCAATTTTCCATTCGAATGTGCGCAACAGGAAGAGATATTGTCAAGTGAGTCTGACAGCTCGCGCACTTCGATGTTTGTTGATACTCGGGCTTCGCCAAATGGCGAACTCGCCAGGGTACGAAGTCACTGCCATGCCAAAGCCGCCGCGCATCATGAGCATCAGGCAGGGCAAAGCGAATCGGGCTACAATGGAGCTCACAAGGCAATGCTCAACACCAATAGAAGCCTGTTCTTCGCAGTCTGGCACACAATTGTAATTATTGTCCTCACGAGGCAATTCTTCGGACAAGGTTCTGAGTGTGTTCCTCGGCATTTGCAGATCGTTTTATGTTTACCCGTCCCTGAATCAAGGCCGTGGAATTACAGTGGAGAGGTGCTGGGGATGCTCTATGTCTCGGCCCTCATCTCAGACATCCCGGAGTAGTGACATCGAGTCCTAGTTGGTCTGAACTGGCCAGGTTTGTACCATGGCGGAGCTTGGTACGCACTTGGGCGCCTTCAAGGAAAGCTGCGCTCAATTCTTAGGTTTCGATCTCTTGGCCAGGTTTCTTTGTGCAAATGTGCAGACGATCTGATTACTTCGCACATTCAGCCTATGCGTGATTTGTGACTTAGGCCTCCAAGTATGAGCTGTCTGCCACTCGCCGAGATGGAATGCATGTTTCAGTTTCAATCCCAATCTCTCAGGCAGTTCCAAGCCTCCGTATTCTGCGGGAAGACTCGTGCATGCTGCCGCCAGCGGGTGAGTTGCAGGAGGCCGCACCAGTTGGGCGCTTCGCATTCTCTTTTGCTGTAGTTAGGCGCAGCGAAAAGCAGAAGCGGCGAAGAAATCACTGACAGCCCGGCCTTTTGCTGCCAATTTGTGAAGTGAGATCGACAACGTTTTCCGGCCAGGAGTGATGGCGATGCAGAAGATCCAGCAGAAGCAGAAGCGGTTGTGAAATTGTCGAACTCGCTTGAGGCGCAACATTTTTCTGCGCACGGGCATCAACTTCAGTGACACTGTGTCATGTTTTTTCCCGTTCTGCGGGACGGATCTCAGGCTTCGAAAGCTCTGCGAGAGGACTCCTTACTCAGAGTGCGATGCTAAGCCTTTCCTTTAAGCCGATGGAGCTGACGGGCTCGAGGTGCTTGGCCCCCTCATGAAGAGCGAGAAGTTCAACAACGAGATTCAACTCGTCATCAAAGCATCCCATGAAGCCTACGCTGGCCAGGCCCAGCTTAGGGTCCGAGGGTCAAAGTCATTCGAGGTGTGGACTAAATGTGTTCGCACCACTTTGAAACCATTAAAATCAAACAACACCCTTGGTTTGTTGGTATTTTCTGGAATTTACAAATTTACAGGGGAACTCTTAGGTGGTGCAGGATTTTGTCTATCCACGTATGGCTCAATACTTTAAGTGCGCTTACGGACTTGCCAAACCGCAGCCTTGTTGACCAAGACAGCCAGTACCCGTCATTGTAGGCTGTAGAGTTTTTGGTTGCTGTGGGCCATGGGTCGCAGGCCGGAAGATGAATTGTCTAGTCACAGTTTGTCTTGCTGTTCCAAAATGGCTTCACAAGTCTATGAGTAGTTATTCATGAGGTTGCAAGGGCAGAGCAGACAGCTGCATTTGTCTTGGGCGCGTCTGAAGCCTTGTCAGGATGGGAAGGCGGAACGGCCTCGGCGCCGTCCTTTTTGGCTTCACCTTCGTGCTGTGCGTGACTCTTTGCCCATTGTCCTTTGTTGGTCTGGCGCAGAGGGGATCAGGCACATCTGTGCCGATGAGTGCCGAAAAAAAGGCAGGCTCCAGTGGAGTAACGCCGGTGGTGGATGACTCTGACTTTTCCTCGGATGAGGAGGACAAACCTGAGGGCAAGGGCAAGAAGTCAAGTTTCGATGACATCCTCACAGAGGCAGACAACTTTGCCACATCCATTGAAAGAAGGAGCAGAAGATCCACTGCTGTGGCCCGTGTGTCCCTGGAGGACGAACTGCGCTGCTTGATTGCACAAGGTCGAGTTGTACACTTGCTGTTTGCTGTGTGAGACCATGGGATTATGAACAAAGCTTTGTTTCATGGATGAATGGAAACCTTGGGAAGCATGGGCAGTGGGCTGTGGGCATTGCCTGCCTAAAGCTCTGGCATGGTGTTCGCGTGACGGATGTTTGGCATTGAATTGAAGTTTGCTGGCTGGCCACATTGCTCAGGTGGTTTGTCTTTGGAGGACGACACTGACCTTGACATGATGATGATGAGCAGAGCACGAGGAGGCAAGGCCAAGGAGACATCGCTCAGCTACCGAATCAACAAATGGTTCGAAGAAACCAAGGAGATGATCACCAATCCCACCAGAATCCAAGTCACGTATGGCATGATCTTTTTTGCCTGCTTCTCCAGCCTCATCATCATGGGCGTGATCACCTTTGCCCTAGGCGGTGTGCGCCTACAGGGCGATGGCTTGGAGACGGCAATGCGCCAGAAGATCAAGGATGGCGATGCCTTCATGCAGCGCTACCAGATGATCAGAGAGAACAAGAGGAGATTTGCAGAGATGGATGACATCAGAAAGTACACGAGTGACCTGTACACACTGAACCCTGACAGCAAAATCAACTATGCGCCCAAGACCCTCGCCGAGATCAAGCCCGAAGATGTGATCGGAGAGTACTGATTGCACTCGGAAATTTTCTCAAGACAAGCCCAGTTAGTCCAAGCGACAGAAGCATGTCGCACAGCTTAGAGCTGGCCCGTGCCAGCTGTCCGAGTGGGACAGCTGCCAAACCTGGACATCGCGAGAAACAAATTCTTCCAGCTTGATCGGCTAGGTCAAGTTTGCCATGATCTAAATTTCAGGGAATTCTCTCAAGCTGTTCGGCGCAGGCTGGAGGCACTCCTGACTTCATGCAGAAGTTTCTCGCCGACATGCAGGTTTCCTGTGAGTCTGTGCCTGAGTGTCCGAGGTCCAAAAAGGCCAATCACGGCAGACTTTGCTTCATTCTCCTTCCTTCGTTCTCGAGGCATGCTCGGCAAGAGGCCTGCCGTGCCTTGCGCGGGTGGGGTGACGATCTCCGGGAAAGCACGCCGGGCGCTATGCGAGCATGAGAGACGGGAGACGGAGGTTTGACGGTTGAAGGCAAGGTTCGTACATTGAGGCTGCTGCAGCTTGGAGACCGTCTATTTGCAGAATTGACATCGCGTGCACTTGAAGAGCTGGCCCAAGCTTCACAGGAGGCAAATCAAAAGCCGGCCACTTAGAGACTGACTCAAACTGCAGATAGCACGGCGGGCAGAGATGCAGCACTTAGGACTATGCAGCTTTGGATTGAGAATGACAAGCGGCGCGCCAATCACGAGCAACGCAAGTATCTCAGATCAATTCAATGCACAGGCCTACACTGCCCGACAAAGTGAGGCCTCAACCCCCGTCTCGCTGATGCCAACAAGTCAGCCGAGCTGGAAGAGCTGGTTGAAGCTGAAGCCAAACGCCACGAAGATGCATTGCAGATGTGCCAGGAGGACTGGCGTTGTGCACCTGGCATGCTGATGGACTGACACATTTTGCAGAGCTTTTCGCTCATGGCTGGCATTCTCCAGCACCTCCAATTGATAGAGCTGGCGCGTGGCTGTCCTGGCATTAGTGCCAATCGCCCGTCTTGATTTGTCTTTTCTTGCAGGTCGTTTTGCGATTTTGAATGCCTTTTAGATTACGCTAATTGGAGAGTGACAAGCGGCAGAAATGCATACTCACAGCAAGCAATCTCTGGAAACTCACGGCTGTAAGCAGGCCAATTCTGAAGGCAGTTAATGCTCCACTCTACACAAACTATCACACGGTGCCACTGCACAGAAGAGTCAAAGCTAACTTAAAGTCTACCTTTGTCAAAGCCTTTGACGCAACAATTTGAGAATCCGAGCCGAACCGCGCTCGTCCATACTGAGCGCAAGATGCAATCAAACTGAAAAGAACGCCACTAGTCAAAACGGCGCGCTGTTCCAATTGACAGTTTTGTTTTTTGGGGCTGTCGCCGGTGGAACGGACCCCTGTCCATAGGAGGGTGTTGCAGGAAAATGGTTTCGTCGGTGATGTGACGGGGCATAGTCTTCTTTTGGCGCCCCTTGTGGGGGTTAGTTGAAGGGACACTCTCAACCAATATTTTGAGAAATTCCCCCTTACGACGCTGGATATTTTATCTTGTGGGGAGTCGTTTTGGGGCTGGGGAAGATCTTATCTTCGTGTTTGGCACAATGTGGTTCCAATGGGCTGGGAGCGACCCTGTGCGAGACCTGTCCTTCGCAGGGAACGCCAGCCCACATATTCCCCAAGCTATTGCGTCAGGCCTTGTTGGGCTGTGCTTTCGATTTTTCGTACTCTTCTTCTGTGACTGGGGGTCAAGGAAACCGAGCGGAATCGCTGAGTTGGTTGGGTCTGAGGGTTTTTCTGAATTTCGGGGGGACGGCTTGTGGGGCGTAGGCTTCGCAAGGAAAAGGCTTGCCAAAACGTCTCTTTCAAAAGTGCCGAGAGGTGTGCCAAAGGGCACTTGTAGGCTGCCAATGCTGTCGGGATGAGCGCGAACGGTTCATTGTGTATGCTGCCAATGCGGATGAGCGTCACAGGAGGGACCATTTTATATCCTTCCAATGCTGTCGGGATGAGCGCCAAAAGTTTATTTTGTATCCTGCCAATGCCGTGGGGATGAGCGCCAAAGCAGGGATCGTTTTGTATGCTGCCAAACCTGTCGGGATGATTGTGAAAGAAGGTTGTTCTGTATGCTGCCAATGCTGCTGGGAGAAGCGTCAAAGGAAGGACCATTTTGTATGTTTTGTATGCTGCCAACGCTGTACTTCGAAATTTCACGTCCAAATCCACAAGGCAAGCTCGTAGTTCAACTCACTGAATGCAGCAAAACAGCTTTGGAATCAGTGCAGAGCCAAGCGCCCTGATACTCAGGACAGCTGAACTCTGAAAGCAAGCCTGCAGAGTGCCAGTACAAGATCCGAAGCCCACTCGTCAAAATAGGTTGACATAGCATGCTAGTCAAATGCAACTTAATATTGAGCTCATCGCAAGGAAACACATTGACCACTACACTGCCACTAACAGCTTGGAATCCGTGCCAACCACGCCAAACGAAACACATCCGCAGTCAAAATGCCCTGTCAGCTAGACCTGAAGCCATTAGAATTCATTAGAATTCCAAATGACATGCCAATTTTACTAGGGCTTGTGACCGCCCAACGCAAAAACGAGTAAACAAATGGGAACTGAAGTAAGTGGGAGCTTCCATTAGTTTGCTAAAGGGTTGTTATTAGGAGTTGGTTCTTCTGAGTATGATTTTGATATGTTTGCTGTGTGTTGCTGTCCGCATGGCGACTCTCTGCGCTGCTCCTGTGATCTAGTCCGCGGTGGGCTAACGGCCCTTGCCGATTCTGCTTCTCTCTCTCGGTACCTTCTCACTCGTGGCATCGATGCCGGTGACAGACGCTGACGGCAATCGTGGGGGTTGACGCCACGCAGAGCGCGAGCGTGCCTGGCATGGTAGGTGACTTGGGCCAACCTGCGTCGATCCAATGCGCCAACAACACCTCAATGCCGGCTTGGCCAAGTTTGGAAAACATGATTCACTTTCATATACGCAAACTACTTAGAAACCAGGACAATGTAGAGACTCATTGTGGCTCTCTATCGCTGAACGTTGCTACTCATCACACTTGGACTATGTGACGAATTGTCACTCACGGTCACTTTTCATCAGACTGAAACTGTTACTCATACGTCACCTTCCGCCACTTGCGGCCACTTAACAGTACTTTTCGCCACTTTCTGTCACTTTTTGTCACCGGCTGTCAAGTCCTACTGTATAGACGGGACGCACATACAGTGGTCGCGTTTATTCCTTGTTACACTTAGCTGCACTTTAGCTCCCTCCACTGTTTGACATCCTCCATCAGCCAGGGTCAGTAGTGCTGCATTTTGCCGACTCAAGGACCGCGAGCGAATGGCAACTGCGCTGCGCAACGCTTCTGAGAGCTTTGTTTGCCACGGAGCTGAAGCATACCATCATAAGATGTAACCATGATTCAGCGACTGAGGTCGCCTGACGACGGTGGCCGAAGTCGCGGTTTGTCTCTTGGATCTTCTCCCGCTGCACAGTCACTTTGGAGCGCTGCCTGGAGATGAGAAGGCAGGTGCCGCAATCAAAGAAGTCGTGCGGCCTATCGAATTGGTCAGGTGGAACCGCCGCGCATGTCCATCAAGCGTCGCATGCGTCGACTCAATGCCGAAGAAGAGAAGCCGCCCGAGCCTGCGGCAAAAGCGGCGCCCAAAGGCAAAGCCCAAGCAAAGCCTCCAGAGCCAGAGGAGAAGCCAGAGGGTCTTCCAGAACGTCAGTGGCAAGGGCTGCCGAAGTTTGAGCTGCGTGCTTTGCTTGTTGGTGGTTCTTGGCCTGAAGATCCTCAACTTCAACCGGATGATGACAAAGTCAAAGAGCTCACGGACACCCTGAAGTCGTTCCGGTCGTGTTGCGCCCAGATGGATTTGAGTGCGTCATTGCGTAGTGGTCGCTTGCATGGTGCAATGTCATGCCCAAAACGAGGCCAGCTCACAGGAGGATCATCGAAGGCCATGATTTGCTGACTGCAGGGGTGGCTTGCTCGCTTGTTCATGCCAGGGCGCTTGCAGTCCTATGAGAATTACAAGCAGCAGTTTACGGACGAAGTTCGTCGTCGGAATTCGGAGATGTCAGTCCGCGAGGCGAAAGAGGAGGCTCGCATTTCGTTGAGCCTTACGCAAGGGCACAAGCATTCGGAGATCGGTTGCGGTGTTCGAGTTTGGAGAACTCTTCGCAGGCAGGAGAGAAGAACTGGCAGTCAATGGTACGCCAATTACGAGGTGAATGATGTGGGTGGGGGGGGGGCACTTTGCAGCCTGATGTTGTGACAAGCAACAAAGTCATGTCACCACTCACCACTATTCAACTCACGCCACAAAAAACGGGTTTTCCTGAAGCTGTCTCACCCATCGCACAGCGAATTCCAGCTGTGCCACTCCAATGGACATTTCATGCTCTGCAGATGATGCATGCAGATCAAGCCTGATGCCTAATCCCGTATGGGCAAGGTTCGGCTTAGTCGAAGGTTGGGTCTCACCGCAGCTGATTTGTCCATTGCATTCAAAAGAAGCTGTTGCTCTTTGCGTGCTGATTGCATGAACCCGCTTCACACTGTTGGTCTTACGCTGTACGCGATCACGCATTGCCAGTGTGTGTGTGTGTGTGTGTGTGTGTGTGTGTGTGTGTGTGTGTGTGTGTTTGTTTGTTTGTTTGTTTGTTTGTTTGTTTGTTTGTGCATACACATGTTTTGTGAGATCAGCCGTTTGGAGATGGATTGCAGCACCAACCCGCCCCGCATTGAACAACTCGTTTTAAGTGCTGCAGAGTCTGACACTTCGGCTCTCGCTGTATGTCCTTGACGCAAGCATCGTTCAGCTCACGAAAATGGCCGGTGCCATTGGTGCCATCGCTGCCATGCTTGTTTTGGTGGACGCGAGCTACATTCCTCCGCGGTACCATATTGTAGATGCCAAGGCGCCGGCCGCCGGGCGGTTGGGTGCTGCGACTGGGGCCTCCAGGCAGACATTCGGGACCTCGATGTCGGCGATGTGGATGACGTGGAGGCTTGGCTGAGGTCAAGTCAGGCTTGCTTCTCACTGCCGGCAGGTTGACGTGCCCAAGCCCTTCATAGATCATATGAAGGAGGTCAAGGAGCAGAGGAGCAGACCCAAGATTGACTTCAACTCTGAGGACGGGAGACGATGCTGACAACTACTGGCCATGCAGCTCAGTGTTTCTGCCAGGCATTTCGAGCAGACCCCACGTCCTTCGCGAGCGGCGGTTCTGGCGTCAACATGGCCTTTGTATCCATGGACTTGAAATGGGCGCTTTCCTCAGCTCAAGCTCACGCAGTCAACCAACTGTGCGACTGAGTGCATGAGTGCATCAGATGCAGGCTGAAGAGCATGGCAAACATGGAACCACGGATTTGGCTCGAAGATGGACAAGCCTTTTGGAAAACGGAGGTTTGATGCCCATGAGATGAATTCAATAATTTGACGCCTGCACAGGCATCAAAGCACAAATCTACGACACTGACCCGGGCTCCATTCTGATTGTGTGGGGCCGCCACTTACAGACCAAAGGAAGACACGACACTGTTGTTGCATTTGGTGGCAGGAATCAGAATCCCATGAACCAGTACAAGATCAAGCAGTTTGTTCTTGAGCAGCCAGACGTGGACTACTACGTTCCTTGGCAGCAGAGCTAACAGCAGAGTTGCTGCATAATTTGTCCCTTCCCGGGTGCCAACACTTTGTTTCAATTTCCCTGACACAGTCCTGGACCGATGGTACGGGTGGCAAGGGTGGCACGGCATAGCCAGGAGCTGAGCCAAAAGCGAGACTATCCGAATGGGCGTACCAGTCCGTGTCGCTGGCTTGAGTTGAGAGGCAACATGTCGTGGGAGGGTGTCTCCATGACAAGTTGTGAGGCGGTTGAGAAAGGGGGCCCAGAAGCGTATAGGGCGAGGGCTTCGGACAGGTCATGGACCATAGCTGTAGAGGGTGGCGAAGTGATGCCAAGAGTGGCTACAGGGCTTGCGGCAAGATACTTCTTCCAGTCTCATTCTTGGCTCGTTCTTGTAGTGCGAAAAATGAGTTGCTAATGGGCCGGAGGAGCCATATTCAGTTGAAGAAGAAAGCAGCCAGGTTAGTGCCTGACGACGTTCGTAGACAGCGCACGGTTTGCACCCCAGTACAGCTGTGCATCGTAGGCGTTCACCGCTGCACCTGCCAAGGCAGAAATGCCAGGCAGACTGGGAAAGAGGGAGGAACCTGTGCGCAAGCCGGCACAGGGGCGGACTGTTGCAAAGACAGGACCAAGATTTGCTTGTCAGAACTTGCAGCAAGGCGCATGGCAGTACAAATTGCTTTTGCTGTGGCAAACCATGGAGCTTTTTCTGTCCACAACCAAGATGCTGTTTGCAGGAAAGGGGTCCAAAAGCTCATGATGCATGGCAAGGGGCATATGGCCGAGGTGTCAAACCAGCAATTATTCCGTGTTTGTCACCGGAACTTAGCCTTTTATGCTCCCTGATGGCCTCGACGGCCCGTGCTATGTCCAGGTCTTGGCTGGTGAGAATCACCGGCTAAGGCTAAGACTGTTAATGTTCCGGACTGATCATCAGTCCAGCGTAAAGACCAGACGAGTCCCAGTTAATGCAAACGAGTGCACGCGCCACACAAACGTGGGTACACCTGCATGTATTTACATGTCGAATGCAGTGCTGCTTCGGCACATGAGCCACTCACCTGTGAGCTGACAAACCATCGTGGCAAGTTTGGCTTAGCAGACTCGTTTCGGGTGGCCATGGAAGACGGGGTCTTGCAGGTGGGGGCTTCGCTGTGAGTCTTGCCCACTAAACTCAAGCACCTTTGAGTACCTTTTAGTACAACTTTTAGTACGTTTTGGACTTCAAACGTTGGGCTTCTCGTTTGGACTTGTCAGGCACGGGTGGCCGAGTTGGAAGCCCGTGTGCGCGAGCTCGAGGAGGAGCTGGAGGCCGCGCGCGCGGGTGAGGTGGAGGAGCTGCAGGCGATCGTGGAAGCGCAGGAGGAGGGGCTGACGTGAGAGACGTGCGCTGCGAGACGCGCCAAGCTTTTGAATTTCGTGATGGGGTGCAAGGCCTCAGCTCAACGCATATGTAAGCGATCTTGGCCAGGCTGCGCTCACAGATCAGCGTCGCATCATTGAAAGCCAGAGCACGCGCCACAGTTGCTAGGTTCCCTCCGAGTTGCCTGACTTGTTTTGCCTCAGGTGCTCTCATCGAGGATCTGAATCAACATCTCACCTCAACAAGTGCGCTTGTCGCTCAGGACTGACTTGAGTTTTCCTTTTAATCATTGACCGCCGCAGTTTTTGGTGTGCACAAGGAGGACAAGCCATGGCCGTCTCAGGCGCCTTGCCGCAGTGACGAGGACGAGCGCAGTCAGCCGCCATTGCCGCCCCGCCGGAGCCGTGAGGGCCGTGATGGTGCAACTCCACCGGGCTCAGCAGGCGCCCTCTGGGGCCAGAGTTTCTTTGTTGGGTAGGTCTGGTTGTTTGGTTACTTGGAAGTAGCTTCAAGCATGCGCATTGGCTCTGTGCAGGCGCGACAGCGGTGCCAAAGCGTCGAAGCGCACCCGGCACCAGCTCGGGCTATGGTCGGGTCTCTGCGGGAGGTGGAGGTGGAGGTGGTGGAGGTGGAGGTGGAGGCACCGGTGGGCCAGGTCGGAATGGCAAGATAGAGCGGAACAGGGGGGCCGACTCCCGGTGCGAGCGGAGCGAGCGCGGGGACAAGCGATTGGGATCTGGAAGTGCTAGCAGTGGCGGTCTGGGCATCAAGGGACCTTCGCCTCGCATGACGCCACGCAGTGCGAGTGCCTCTGACTCCCGAAGGGTGCAACAGATGGCGGGCATTCCGCCATCCCTTCCTCTTCTTCGACAAGAAGCATGAAGGACACGCAACGTTTCACCTCCAGACAGTCCATTGCATGTTCTGTATCAGTAGCCGAATAGCCCAGTCCGGTCTGAGCCAAAGACAGTTGCAAGCTGAATACAGTGTTGCAGCTGCAGGGCTGGACACATCTCACCCCTAGTTCGACATTTCAGGATCCAAGAGGAGGGAGGACTCAACACTTTGTTGTTCTCGCGGGATTGCGGAATACGCATGTAGGGTCCATGTCAGTGTGTTGCTTTCATTATTGCCAAGTGCGGTGGGAAATTGTTCAGGGCACCCCAAACTGAGTGGCTCAGACAGGAACACGACAGGGACAATATTATAAACACGTTCTTTTGTTTAAGAAGCCAAACCAACAGCAACATTGCGTTTGGAGTTGTGTTCCTGTTGGACAGACCTTAGCCATTCCGATGGATAGAACTTTGCCAAGGGAACTTGGACATTTCTACACACTTGCCTTGGTTTTGAATTGACCTTCGGCACGGGAACTGGAATCGTGGAGTCGTGTCCCATCTTTGAACATTTCTCAATGCGGTGCGCAAGGAGCGCAAGGACCTTAGGGCCGTTAAGGACTTGGACCCAAGTCGGAGCCAATAGCTCACATTCGGTGCAACCCGATGTGGTGTTTAGGAATAGGGTCCGACTTTCGTCCAAGTCTGGTCCCTTTGATCTGGCAAAAGCGAAACTTCGAAAAGGGGAAAATCAAACAAGCAATGGTTCCAGCAAAGGTGTGCAGATGTGGTGGGTTGTTTGGAATATCAGCCACGCATTCCAAATACAACCCCGACTTTATTTCACCGCACAGCCTTCCCTTCAAGTTTGTTCTATGTCTTTTTCTTGTGTGTCTGTTTGTAGTATCCTCGAGAGCAATGCAGCAATGAACACATGTCGTTCGCTTTTCAAACACCTGCGCATGAAGCAAGTCGGACAATGGAGACGTGGCCTAAACCGGTTGTCCGGCTTGAATACGGTTCAAAACAGGAATCTGTAAAGGTTTGTGTGCGCCTTTGTGCGCTTATGCAGAAGGGCATGTCAATCCACGGGAAGCACAGCAATTGAATGATCAAGTTTGATATGCACAAACACACAACCACAGACTTTACTACAGTACACTAGACATTCATTCTGCTTAAATTGGCATCCTCATTGTTGAATCCACGGTCTGGTCATTGGCTCAAGTCCCTCGCTCAAAGCGCTTTCATATGTCCGGGTGTGTTTGTTAGCAATGGCAGTTCGTGCCGTGGTCGCATGCCTGTTGTCTCAGCAAGTCTTCGCTGAAATGCACAGAGGCAGTATGAGCATGTGGGCGTCTACCAAAGACACACTGGTGGGCTACAAAAGCATGGGGAGCGCTTGCATGTTTGCTGACAAAAAGATGGGCGGCCTTGAGTCTGTGACTGCGCAAACACCTTACATCAAAGCCAAGAACTACTGCGCTGTGAATCGCGGGCTCTATGGCAACGGAGAGGTGTGCGGCCGGTGCTACAAGCTGACCTACAAGGGCGACCACGAGCAGGGCCTGGGGCGTCCAGGCAGCCACGTGGTGCAGGTCGTGGACTCGGGCAGCTGGGCCACCTTCGACTGTCACATGACGGTCTTCAACAAGATCACCGACTACGACACCGGCATCTTTCCCGTGGATTACGAGGAAGTGCCCTGTGAGACATCCCCGGAGGGTCCCATTGCAGGAGTTTTGGACGACGACTACTACTGGACAAAGTTTGTGTTCAGCAATCTCCGATATCCGGCCACGGCTGCCACCATCACAATCGGCGGCAAGCCGCATAAGATGAAGCTGATTGGCGGCTACTGGGGCGCCTGGACAGGCCCGATCAAGGGACCCACCGACATCAAGGTTACGGAGGAGAACGGTGACAAGGTGAGCTTCCACAACTGCTTTGGTGGCTGGAAGAACAGGAAGACCGGAGCTGCTTGCAAAACCTCGCAGTCCCAGTCCCTTGTTGGAGCCAAAGCGTTTCCCCGGCAGTCCCTGTCCCTGATGCGCTGGGAAATTGACCCCTCGCAGCTTTGAACTGCCAGCGATGGGGCCTTTGCCAATTTGCACCTTCGTGCTTTGACAGAAAAAGGTCGCCTGCTCCAAGGAAGGGAGCGAGCGCATGGCCCGAAAGGGGAGCAATTCACTGATTGTGCTCAAGCCCACAACCTCGCAACCTCTCATTGACATTATTGTTTCTGCAAAGAACCATACGCACTCAATATTATGGACCGCATCTAAAGGTCGGGTACGACACTCTTGGAAAGTCGCGAACAAGACTAACATCATGCCTCAAACATTTGTGCACATTCATTCTGATGTGCAGACCGAAATTATGCACATCAGACAATGGCTGGATCAGTTGTTTTTTTAAACCTCCATCTTCAAGTCTTGGCGAAACACGCACGCAGCATACATCACTGTCCAGAACTGAAGGGCCTGTCTCTTGCAAGTACTTGCGAACTGCGTCATACACACACATTTCCTATTGGGGACGCCTCCTTCGGAAGACAACTTGATGGCTTTACAACTTATGCTGGGCAAGGCTTCTCCAAGTTATGAGCATGTTCAATCGATCAGGCCCATTGAGGTACGTTTGGCTGCTGGCGCGTGGATCAAACACAGGCAATGAGTCGTAGCGGCGCTTTGGAGAGCTCTTGTAGCTCCAGCGAGCTGCAGCTGCGACGATGCGACGACGCAGAAAGTTCTGTGGGAAGCCGTGCTGTCGGTAGCACATGCACCCTGGCGTGGGCCACAAGAGCCACATGGGCGCGGGGGATGGAGCAAGCCCTGGCGCGCTGCTGGGCAAGACGCTGGGGACGAAGCTCACGGTTTCCTCTTCTGCTGCACCTACTGCTTATTTGGAGCTGCAGTTGTTTCACGCGTGCAGCGGCCACCCCCACGGTGATATCCCTGCAATTTCAGACAGGTGCTTCACCGGTTGACACCACAACGCTGGCTAATGTCTCTGTGGAAGATGTTCGACTAGACTCGGAGGCTTCAGTGTTGACGTGTCAATTTTCATGTCCTGCATTGATAAGCTGAAGCGGAGAGAGGGTGATCATCAGAACATCCCGACATGCGTTGGATTGAAGGTCCGGTTCATCTTTGACGAAAGCATCACTCTTCAGCCAGTTGGCCAGGCTGGGAGACACTAGGTTCACGACTTTCTTTTTGCGCAACCCCTGACGTTCCATGTTTTGACATGTCGTGGATCCTGCTGTGAGGCTTACAAGTGGCAGTAGTCGTATCATGCCATCAGATGCCAGGTGACTTTGTGGGATGGCAGTACCTACACCAGTTACTCACTTGGGGCAGGTGCTGCCGCGGCCTCAATGCGGAAAACCAAATTATCTAAGATCAGTCCTGCTGTGCTTCAAGGTTGTTCCCGCGAATGGGTCTCACTTGGTTCTCAACGAGGGCAATGTAGACACCACCTTCCTCACAGAGTTTGCTGCCTACTACATCTCTTTGGATCCGGGCATCGTGTGTTGGACTCAGCATGCTCAACGGGCCCGACTGCCCCACTTAGGGGGTTTGGGACAGTTTGGAGCCAAGGACTGCAGGCGGATCTCCATGCGACGCGTTCCAGTACACTTTCTCCACTGGAGACTTCACAGCACCGGCCCTTGCGGCGTATTTTCCTTCAAATGGTGAGCCAAGCTGCGGCCTCAGCACCCCTGCGATGCCTTGTTCTGACTGTCCAGTTGAGGTGCTGACCCTGCCAAGTCCATTACCTTGACATTCAGCGAAGGTGTGGAAGCAGCCTCCGATGCGGGCAAGGCAGGGGCTTTCAGTAGGCTTCAGAGCTCAAGTGTTGAGCATGTTTGCTGACTTTTTACGATCAAAGCTGCCATAAGGTTGTTTCCATCACAAACCTCTACACGGGACAGAGTGCAGTCCTCGCCTGCCGATCCAATTCAGTGGTGCACGCCTTGGTGGAAAGCAGTTTGTCTTTTTCGGTTTTTGCCTGCCGGGCATGCCACTAAGGTGATCGACAATCACGAGATTGAAATTGACTCGGGTGGATTCGTGATCCACTGCCAGCGGTACGAGGCCACTTCAACTCGGGGGAGGATGTGCACAAAGTCGCCTGCCAGGTGACATACAGTGCGGGATGCTTCGTCGACTTGTCGGTGAGCAGCAATGCCGTGAGCGCATTGACGAGTGGTTCGCTTCTCAAGCCTGAGCTCATCCATCTGGATGTTGATCACTTTCGCGCGTGACCATGCTTGCTGACTCTGAGGTATTTACACTTTCGAGACATCCTGCGTAACCCAATTGAACCCTGCGCACAATGCAGACGATGTTGCCCTGGACTCCAGTCTGGCAATTACCTTTAGCGAGGCTGCTCGACCAGTCGAGATTCATGGAGAGTCATTGTGGCTTTGCACTGAGTCAAAATCAGGGATTGAAGCCCGCTGAAGGCTGTGGAACCTGGATCCGGAAGTATCGTCCTGATGCCTCTGGGATTCACGGACTACTACAGGGCAATCTCCGTTCACGATACGGTCCAGGACGGCTTTGCAAAGGCGTTAGCCTATTTTAGCCTGCGACTTATGTTGCCTCAGACAGCTTCAGTCACGCGCAGGTATCCTTTGATTCTCTCAACACGACAATGACAATATCTCCGAACGCCACTGCCTTACACTGCAGCCGTGGGCTGATTGCTGGGACGGCAGCCTCTCTGACTTGCTTCAGGACCCTTTGCTTGGCTCAACAGTTGCGCAAAGCAATCTATGCCGCATCAATGCGGTTTCGTTGAATGACTGCAAGGGGCAGGCCTTGATTTCTTGAGTGGAACATTGCGCGCTTCATGATTCATGATGCATCAATGTGAATGTATCAGTAACTCAGTATCCCCGTGCATGATGGCCTCGCAGATTTGGGACATCACGATTTCTGACGGAGTCCTGCGTCGAGTTGTTGCGACATCCCTGCTGGTACTGCGCTCGGTGTCCGTCAAGGGCCGTCGGGCTGCATTTGAGGTGGGCATCAGATGTATTTGTGAGGCTCAAGTAGATTTGCTGTACCCCCTTCAGCCAGCTGGCTCTTTGGGAGAGACCTACAGAGCCTTCATCTCAGCTTTGGGAGCTTTTGGCATCTTTCACGGGGCTTCTGACTAAGGTCAGAACAAAAGCAGCAGATGTTACACCACCAGGCTGGTTTTGTAAACTGGGCAAGATGTTTCGACCCATGCTGTGCCTTGTTGCCAGTCATGACGATGGTCAGCGCTCACGGTATTTCAGAGTCCACAGTTCGAGTCACGCTCCGCCTCACACTCAGCAGTTGATCCCTTGCTGTTGAGCAAGAACGGATGCTTTAGATGCAGCAATAGGTCTTGATGAAAGCGGTACTTCCTTCTGTCAAGCATTCGCGGTGCCGGGCTTGTCTTCTTGTCAGCATACAGGCCGATGTGCGAAACCAAGTTGTGCTGAGGATGGCGGCAGTGGGCAGAAGCTTGCTGTGACGTTGTCGGAGATCGGAGCGTCATTTTCTGGCATTGCTGCGCCCTTGCAAGAGTCTACATTCCAGCGAGACACCAAGCTGCATCAGGCAGTGCTGAGCTCGACGCTTGGTTACGCCGAGATGGAAGTTGACGCGTCTTGCTGCAGTAAGCTGTGGTGCCGCGTCAGATGTGCAGACACAGTCACCTGGCTATTGCAGAGGTTTCGGGCCTTTCCGCCAAGACATACTACAGTGTCTTCTGCTACGCGCAGGCTGGCTCGGCAGCCGGCAGATCGATTTGCCATGCACGCCGTCAGGACACCGAGCAGCCCATTGTCAACGTGGTTACCATGGGAGCAGCAGTGGCCACACGACAGAGAGTGCGCACGCTGGACACCACTGCGCCAACGACACTAAACTGCTCCGCGGAGGAGTGGCTTGCGCGTGGCTTCGCGCTGTCAACCCAGACTGACTCGCCTCGCAGGCCGCGCCTGGAAAGGAGGATGCGATTGACGTGTCTGTCATTTTGGGCGAGCCTGGAACAGCATTCTGCGCGGTAGTCCGTTCTGGACTCCCCGTGCCGAGCCGCTTTATGGTGGTGGCAGCAGGCAAGCGACTCGCATCTTGGTTTCATCTCGCAGCCTTGGCTAGGCTTCCAATCCAACACTTCCTTCTATGAGCAGCACACTTAGCTCCACAGACGATGCCGGTGATGTTTCTTAGAGTGGTTGGTGATTGCTTCAAAGGCCGTATGAAGCTGCCATCCTCGTGAATATGGCTTCAGCAGGCTACGGGCCTACCGGATTGGCATCACTGTCCAGAGGAACTGGCTATGATGTCTTTTGCTGGCTGCTCAGAACCAGATTGCACTGTGATTTGTCGAATTTCTTCCTTTCTGCCGTGAAGGTGTGCAAGCAACTGCAAGCCATGGGTGCAGGCATTACTGTAGGGGTATTTGTTGAGTTATCAATCACACTGTACTTCAGGGTGTACTTCAGGGTGACAGCACACGAACGGAGACAGTTGCGTCATTCGTTATGAACGCATTTGAGATCACCAGATGTGCTGGCTTGGGTTGAAGATTGTCAACTACAGTAAGGGTTTCTACGGTAGTACAAGCAACCATGAACATGATCCTTACACGAGGTTCTGGTTCTGCCACGATCTTGCAATTCGTCCCAGGTTGGGCGCAAGATGACGAAGGAGCGCATGCGTGTGACCAGCCTGGTTCTCGGTTGCTGCTTCACGTCAGGAACAGGGCAGGATGCCGCCATCCAATGTGGGCCTCAAGGACTTCCTGGGGCAGTGCGGACGCTTGGGGGCTCAGATGCACATTCAAATCTTGCCATTCATGAAGAAAATTACAGAAGATGGGACATGCTCGCCTCAGGTTGGATTTGACTCCACCCCAGATGTACATCACGGATGCTGAGGCTCTCACAACGGGATTGGTGTTCATGGATCTATGGGCACAATTGTAATTCGGTACCAGCTGCGAAATGAGGTGATGTTCAGTTGACACTGGCTACATATTTGTAGCACTGGCCAGGCAATTGCGAAGGACACTCTGCGTGTGACCTTACGAGTTGACGAGGGTAGCAAGATCTGGTGCGCAGCTTGGACAGAAGAGCCAGAAGCTTAGCCGATTTGTGCAGGTGCCTCACACACACACACATGCATGGCACATGCATGTTTCCGCATGCCCCATCAGAGCTGGCTATGAAAGTTCGCTTGTTTTGTTTGGCCACCTTACAATGAGGCCGGATGGTATCTCGGTGGACTTTGAAGTGCTCATCAAGTCAAAGTCTGCAAACTGCACAGTCGTGCCTGCTGGTTTGTTCAATTGCCCGAGAATGCTTGTGTCAAGCAAAGCAGGGCTTCTTTGTCAAGCCAGGATTCCTTTGGGAACGAGTGCGGTAGCTTTTGGGTGTACGACCTGGATGACTTGGAGGACTCGACAGACGACGGAGTCTTTACTCAGGCTGACTTTGATTCGAGCAACTGGAAGTATCATCAAGATGTGTCCATTCTGCTGACCAATCTCCAGGAAGCTTGGCGCTTAGAGCATATATTGTGACAGGGTGAGCTTGATCCAGCAGATTCATTGCCTTCACCCAGGCTACAGAGTACAGTCACATCTACTGTTTCGCCCAAGACGACGAAGATGATGGACTTGGCAACCAACCGAACAAGATGACTTTCAATACTTCAGCGGCGACTAGTCAGGTGAGCCTCATTCGGGATGCAATCGGAAGTGTGACAACTCTGGATGAGACACCCCCCACGTTCACCCTCCTTGAGATTCAGGAGCGTGTCGAAAAGTTGCATTTGCTGCTATGCCGCTTCCAAAAGCAGATTCTTGCCAAATTGAGAGAGATGCGCCAGGACCCTACAGCTCTCAATGACCGCATCCAGGTGACCTTCACATTGAACGAACCTGGAACTGGATATTGTCGAGCAATACGAGCTGATTCTGGGGAAGATGCTGATATGTACCATGCCTTAGCACAGCCTCGGCTTGATGGATTTACCCATTCTGTCTGAGGCTCGTGAATCGAATTCTCAGCGCGAACTGGGAGGCTATATATGATGGAAATGGTACACAGCCGGCAGCTCAGGGCAAATCCACATGCGTTGTGGCTGGGGAGCCAGACGCAAATACGATGAACAGCATCATCGAGCATTCTGAATCTTTCCTTTACCGACCAAGACCGAGTCATGTTCGTTAGCACCATGCTCTGCTGTAGTTCTTATGCCAACACCCAGGACAATCACGATGACAAAGTTGGACAATGTTACTCCCAGCTTGACCAATCGTGATGACCAAGACATCTATTTTCAGGAGGCCCGGCTTTCTGTTGCTTGCTTTCTGCCCCCACTCGCCGTAGCGAATGCTCCAGTGCGTGAGGCAACGCTCTACAATATTTACTGCTGGGCAAAAGACTCGGCTGTGGACACCAAAGGCTACGCGCGGCCCAACTTCATGGAGCAGGAGTCTTTGCCATGGCATTTTACAACTTTCTTGAATGCCACATGGACATGGGAGGACTATGTGTTTGCAGAAGTTGTCTCCTCCGGTCCAGAGCTTTCGGATTTCCGGGCCTGCGACAAGTCCAATGCTCTCAGGCTCTCCCAGCGGCGGGCGCACATCCAATGTTTGGGTGAGAGACACCACTCCGCCGCAAATGATCTTTGTGGATGCTGAAAGCTTGGAAGCCTCCGCCATCCAGGCCGGCACAAGCGCCCGATGGCAAGATGGGTTGGCACTCGGCACAGGTGACACTCCAACTTAACGAGCCTGGAACAGTGTGGTGCCGCTGAGCTCAGATATGTCAGAATTTGCGTGTTGTGAGCCAGCGTAGCTGAGGTCAGATCTTGAGTCTAGACTCGAATGCCTCGATTTGCGATGTTAGGAGCCTGCAGGTGTGGCAGACAACTATTTGGGGTCTTGTACTCCTTGGTGCGAGTTCAGGAGAATGCTACTGCCAGCTGCTACTACGCGGACTACATCAAAGGATCTGGGGCCGCAGTGCAGCTCCAAGATATTGGCTGTGTTGTCCCAATGGGTTCAATGGGATTCTGGCATTGTCTGAGGTTTTCAGCTCAAATGTTCCCGCTGCCTATCGTAATGTGCACATCAAGCTCGATCGCTGGCTGGAAAGCGATCTGGTTACTTCCACACCACTGACCAGGGAGACTCAGTACCAGGCAGAGACTCAGTGCCAGGCAGACTTCCAACCTAAAGTTCCCTGAGCCAGACCCGTGCAGGTCCTTTGCTTTGCTGAGGATGATTGGGATGTAGAGGACAGCATGACGCTTGCTTTTCTGGAAACATCTGAAAGCTCTTCCAGGCATTGAGCTTGCCAGCACTACAAAGATCGTCTGGACCCCAAAGAGGAAAGGACGCATTGCATTTGCAGTCTCGCTTTTCTTCAACGTTCATCCCTCCACTTCCACGTTCATCCCTCCACTTCTTTGCCAACAAGGCATCCTTACATGTAACCACGCCTCAAATGTGACTGCTTGGTGTTGCCTGCTGGTGATGTACTATCAACATGCCAATCTCTTCATGCAGCACCGGATTGGGGACTTTTCTCGCCGTACAACGCTGGGTTGTTCATGCCATGTTTCAACACACCACTTCGAACAGAAATACTTAACTTGTCGTGTTATCATGTTGATCGCATCCCGACTGATCCATTGCGAAGCCTGTTCAGTTCTGTCAAGTGCCGGACATGAGGGTGCCCCATTCGGTTTGGCTGCCGTCCTTTGTTCTGAATCTTACTCAATGTCACAGTCTATGAGTGGTTTTGCGTTTCTTCTGTTGATGGTTTTTTCTTCGAGGGCTCTACCTCAGCCCACATGAAATTGCCTGTGCACATGAAATTGCCTGTGCCCCAGGCCTCAATTTCAAGCTCCTGGAAGTCCAAACAAGGCTGCGTTTGAAAGTCTGCACACGCCAGTGTTTGCAGATGTAGTCTTGACTAAGGTGTCATTGGCTGCCGTGTACACGCTACGACAAGCCATTGGTACCAAAACCACATTGGACGAAACGCCACCTGCGTTCACGCAGCTCCAGATTGAAGATCCGACGATGGCCAACGACCACATTGTAATTTCCTTTGCTCTGAACGAGCCTGGTACAGCCTACTGCCGAGCAACGAGATCTGACTCGGGTGAGACTGCAGCAGATATGACACTAGGTTGCATGATGATGCAACAAAAATGACCTCTTTGCCCTAGCCCCTCATTTTGTTGCCATTGTGCCAATGCCAGGCAAATCGTGCGCATTATGAGTGTCAGTGGCCTAGCGCCTGCTCTTCAGTCATTAGATGCCGAAGTTTTGCGAGGCAGCCTGGGCAGGTGAACACAATGGCAGTGCTACTCCGTCTGCCCGCTCAGCACATTCACATCTTGAATATGCCACTGCCAGCTTGTCATGCGAGCTGCGATTTTGCGTGAACTTGGACGTCACGGGATATGCAGTATCAGGTCCACCATTACCATGTTGAAGTTGGAAAACAATGACCTGAGCAATGGCAATGCTGGTTTGGTCGAGGAGTGGAGTGTTGTGATAGCAACACTGAGTCAACAAATTCAATCATCAGGCACAGCAGTACGATGTCTACTGCATGGCGCAGGCATGTGTTTAGATTTGTGTCACCTCGTCCAGTACAATCAAGGATGCCCGACTCTGACTAGGACGATGCCACGGACGATGGTGGTTTGCCTCGGCCCAACCTGATGGCCCCGAGCTACATCGCGGCGGATGTGCTTCAACCCTTATCACCGCAAGGTGGTCGCACTGCAGGATCATTGGCGTGACTGAGTATCAAAACTTGCTTCGTGCGCCCGCCCCCCCCCCCCCCGGGTTAAAGACATGCTTTTGCATGTGGCTAGTGGTTTGAGGAGTGTGGGTTGCTGACACCTCGCCGCCGACAATGCATCTTGACTGGAATCAGAATGTGAATGCAGAGGCGTGGAGAATCAGCATCCTTAATGATTCAGGAGTTTTGTTCGTGCAGAGGCGATTGGACAGGAGCGTGTAATGCATGTCTGAGTCTGCATTCTTTGGGGCTGTTCGGCCGAGCAGGAAACTCTCCAAGTGACCTTGCAGCTGGATGAGCCGGGGACAATTTGGTTTGTTACCCAGCCGGCTCTTGCTGCACTTTTTGGTGCCATTTCGAGCCTCTGACATTGTTTGAGCTTTGCAGCCGTGTAAACTGAGGTGTCAAGCAGCGGATTTGGACCCAGTCTCAGTGCAGCTCTGCGGCTTGACTTGGGAAGATTGCGACCGAGGCCACGGTGCTTGATCTTTCTCACTGCCGACAGAGCGATATTCAGGACACTGTTGATGCCTTTGGCAGAGCATGGCACCGCATGGCACCGCGGTTTGCATTTTTTGGCTGGCAGGAGACCTTCCCCAATGCAAGCTGCTTCTTCGAGGACCGTTTATAGTTCAGCAGTACCTTACCATTACCAAATGTCTCCTGCAGGATTTTGTGAAGGGTGATAACGACACATTGTTCTACTCGCCTGTGCAAAGCTTGGACAACTTGTGAAGCAGTGTCGGCAGTCTCCACGACCATTGCGCAAGGTGCATGAGGCATTCAGAGATGTGAGCATTGATATCAGCCGTATTCGGACGAGAAATGCTTCGAGCAGCATTCCTCTTGCCCACGAAACCAGCTACAACATCTTTTGCTTTGCAGAAGATGACTGGCCTGCGCAGGTTGTGCAGCGCTTACCACTGTGTTCCTGAGTAGATCGTTGCACAAAACATGTTACTCTTGAAGTGAGTGTGAAGTGATGGTTCAGAGGCAAGTGCTAGCAATTCGGTGAACATCATCTTTCCGACCACACCGAACAAAGTGGACCTAGCTGCCGGCCTTGCGTTGCAGTCTGAGATTGGCAACCTGACGACTCTGGATAAGGCAGCGGCTTACAGGGTCGGTTCGCAGTTTTGTTTTGGAGTTCTTCGGCCAAAACTGCAGCCAAAACAGAGGCTCCCAGAAGTCATTCAAGGTGAGGTGTTGCCTTTAGCGTACTCTTCGACAGCCAACCATTTTGCAATCAGGACATATTTGCTTTGACGACGTTGCTAACCGTCAGACCTAGATTCCATCGTGCTAAGCACAGCAGCGCAGAATCTTGCAATCAAAATTGCACCAAGAGCACAGCATGGCAAACTATGGCATCAACAGACAGGTGTTTGAATGTGATTCGTTCTCTTGATCAACTCCGGCTACCCGTGTTCGACCCTGCAGCAGCAACGGCAACAACGACACCAACAACGGAAGCAGGAACGGCAGCAGAAACGGCCACAAGAGCAGTGCAGCAGTGGCAGATGCACTGGCTGGTTGCAAAGCAGCAAGCACCGTCGCCAGCACGTGAACTGTATGCTTTGTACACCTGACGCAAGCTTTCTTTTTTTTTCATCGCCGCATTCTATATTCGTATGTCTATGCGCTGAAGCAGATGTGTGCAAACTGCAAACCATGTTGCCGATCATGTACGGTACCTGGGCATTGATTGCCATGTATCTGGAGGATTCAACATCCTGGGCAACCCGGTTGTAAACTGACGGTTGCAGGGTAGCTGCACCACTGCAAGCATCTTCGACGCAGCACAGCAACATTATCATCACATCTTTGCCCGAGCCAGCACGGAACAGGTGACCTTCGCATTGAATGTATTGCAGGGCGGTACTTTACAAACGTTCTCTCATGCTCTGGAGTGTTGCCGGAGGGGAAGTGCTGATTTTGAAGCCAGCTGCATCCGATAGGCTGCTCCGACTTTCACACTGCTGCAGATCAAGGATCCGACAGCCGCCAATGATCGCATCATCGTGACGTTTGCTCTCAACGAGCCGGGGGTTGCTTATTGCCGAGCTACACGAAGTGATTCCGGTGAACAAGGCCCCGACATGCACATCAATCGCATCCTCAGCGCTGCCTGGTCGTCCTCATTTTCTCAAGGCTGGGATTGCAAGTGAGGCTTGAAAGAGGACGTGCTGTGCCGAAACTCCCTCAGGAAATGCCACCATTGAAATGACGCAGCTAGAGAATCGGAGCCTCGACATCCTGGACAATGCCCAACTCGTGGAGGCAACGCAGTACGACATCTACTGCTGGGCAGAGGATGACGCTGTTGATGGCGTTGGGTATGCAGCACCCAACTACATGACCCAGGATATGACGTTGCAACCGGCTGACATGCGGTTTGTGCAACGCACATGCATGTGATGCTCTGAACTGGCTCGAGGACTACGCAACGCAAGGAGTTGGCTCAGCCTGTTCCTTGCGCTCGCAGAGCGCTTGTGGCTTGGAACTCGCTCCGAGGTCACAAATCCTTCCGGTGGCGCCACATTCGGAGTGTGGCTTCGAGATTTGACTCCGCCGACCATGGTTTTTGTGCGTTCTGAAGCTGTTGCACGCGAAAGCCCCACGTTGCAGGCGGCCTGTTGTGCCTTGTCAACCTGTCAATTTCATTCATTTTTTCTGCTTGTCAGGTTACGCTTCAGCTCTCTGAGCCGGGAACGGTTTGGTGCTGGACGCCTAGATTCCGTCAAACATGTTTCGCTTTTTCCCTTTGCCGGGCATGGGGTCCATGGGGTCCATGGGGTGAGGTCAAGCAGCGGAGCCGAGCTCGCTTTCGCCGGACCACTGCTCCACTTGGGAGGTCGCAGAGACGGTCCCTGGAAATCCTTGCAGGGGCCCAATTCCGGGCTGAAGGCCATGACAACCGCGTCGCGCCGAGGCTACTTCGAGTCATTCATCAAGGGCAACGCAAGTGATGGCTCGGAGTTTGCGGCGCATGTGGCAGAAGCATATCGCAATGTGCAAGTTGAAGTGAGCGCTCTGCAGCTGAAGGGAGCTGGAAGCCAGCCACTGGAGACTGAGCATGCGTACAACATATTCTGCTTTGCTGAAGATGACTGGGTGAGTCAGGTCTCGAACTCAGCAACTGCAGTCTTCAGAGTCTAGCGCAGTCTGCATACTATGCTGATTTGTGAGACTGTGAAGCCGAGGCAGACGGGGCAGCAACACATTCCATAAGCTATGCATCACCAGCTGAGCCTTTGAAGACCTCCCTCAACGATACCGTGGCTCTGAAAGACACTGTGGGTCTGCTGGTCACACTGGATGAGACTCCGCCGACATTCACGAAGCTCCTGATTCCTGACCCCACAGAACATAATGACAGAATCAGAATTACCCTGTCACTGAACGAACCCGGTACAGCCTATTGCCGTGCTACACGATCTGACTCTGGTGAATCAGCTGCTGACATGACGATCAACCGAATCATTGCAGCAGGTTGGTCAGCAGCGTACAGTGGCAGTGACGTGACCATCGAAATGACCAAGATAGAGAACATAGATCCAAGCCAGACTGCGAGGGATGATGTGGACGTTTATTTCGAGGAGCAAACTCAGTATGATGTGTATTGCTGGGCGCAAGACAGCGCCGTTGACAGCAATGGGCTTGCACGGCCCAACTACATGTCGCATGAGTATGTGTCCGCAGAGGTGAATTCCAGCTCAAGTCCATCAGGTGGCAGCACTCTGAACATTTGGGTTGTGGACTCCACACCTCCCACTATGACCTTTGTTCGGGCTGATGCTTTGGCTAGCGCCACTCTGCAAGTCACTCTGCAGCTCAATGAACCAGGAACAGTCTGGTGCCAGGCAATTTTGCCATATTCCTCCTCACTCACAGAACATTGCAAGGTTGGCGCCAGTGGCTCTGAAGGTGATCTGCAGTCAGCTGACGTGACTGCTCCATGTCACTATGAAACTCTAGCCGCTGACTTGCACTTGTATAAGTGCTGTGTGTATCGCTGTTTGATGTTGGTTTCCCATGGATCCTGCTACTAAGCCTGCTACATTGTCAATGGGAGCTTAGGTCAAGGGAAACGGCAGCTCTACTTTCTATGCCGACGTGCACGAAGCGTTTCATGATTTCAGCATAGATATAAACAAGATCTTGCTGAAGGATGGTAGCGCAACCACTTTGACAACTGAAACCGCCTACAATGTCGTTTGTTTTGCGGAAGATGACTGGCCTACGCAGGCTTCGCTTTCAAAACATTACCATACTTGTCAATGTTAATTCCCCAGGCAACTGCACCAAAGGTTTTCCTACTTGAACGTTCAAGCTCTTCTTTGCCTTTTTGGAATTCTTCGCTCTACCCTGCAGGCAGACGGGTCAGCAACACATTCCATAAGCTTTGTCTCACCAGCTGCGCCTTTGAAGACCTCCCTCAACGATACCGTGGCTCTGAAAGACACTGTGGGTCTGGTGGTCACACTGGATGAGACTCCGCCGACATTCACGAAGCTCCTGATTCCTGACCCCACAGAACACAATGACAGAATCAACATTACCCTGTCACTGAACGAACCCGGTACAGCCTATTGCCGTGCTACACGATCTGACTCTGGTGAATCAGCTGCTGACATGACGATCAACCGAATCATTGCAGCAGGTTGGTCAGCAGCGTACAGTGGCAGTGACGTGACCATCGAAATGACCAAGATAGAGAACATAGATCCAAGCCAGACTGCGAGGGATGATGTGGACGTTTATTTCGAGGAGCAAACTCAGTATGATGTGTATTGCTGGGCGCAAGACAGCGCCGTTGACAGCAATGGGCTTGCACGGCCCAACTACATGTCGCATGAGTATGTGTCCGCAGAGGTGAATTCCAGCTCAAGTCCATCAGGTGGCAGCACTCTGAACATTTGGGTTGTGGACTCCACACCTCCCACTATGACCTTTGTTCGGGCTGATGCTTTGGCTAGCGCCACTCTGCAAGTCACTCTGCAGCTCAATGAACCAGGAACAGTCTGGTGCCAGGCGGTTGAAGTGTCAGCCTCGACGGACATTGCCAATTGCAAGGAGCAAGACATGCAGGATGCTCTTCCCGCTGGAGACTGCTTTTTTGAGACCTTTGTGACCGGCACTGGACCACTTTCGCCTCCTGATGCTGTATTTCAAGCTCAGGTTCACGAGGCATTCCGCAACGTAGACTTGGACATCAATCGCATCGTCAACAAAGGGGCAAGCTCGAGCAGCCCCCTTCTGTCGGAGTATCCCTACACCATATTTTGTTTCGCGCAGGATGACTGGAAGATTCAGGACGGGGAAACAGTGCTTGAAGGGAAAGCGAAAGTGCAGACTCGGCCGTGCCAGGCTGATGCGTCCGCTTACCTGCCAAACTACCTTTCACCTTCAGGAGACACACAGCTTGACTTGCATTGCCTGCGGATGCATGAGATGTGCACTTGCGAGCTTGTTTGGCCAGGACCCAACAAGGTGAACTTGACGGATGCGCAGCAATTGCAAAGCGCAATCGGAGTGCTGTATACTCTGGATGAGGCGGGATTGAAGCCGCTTGACGTAGATTATCAGGCGTAATTCACAAGTCGAGGGCTGGAAGCGAAGGGAGCGAGGGTAGCGCAATCACCCACATGAGTGCAGGACTGCCCTCATTCTTTGCTAGGTGCCATGTTCCTCTTCCAACCTCAGAATTCAATTGTTTTTCAAACCTAACGAGCAAATCTATTTGCGTTTGCAGTGTGCACGTGCCACGCAGGCGCCTCCATCCTTCACATCCTTGGCTGTCACAGATCCAACGGCAACAAACGACCGCATCGTGGTGACCTTTAGCTTGAACGAGGCACGGCGGCACGCCGGCACGGCACGGGGTTTCAGTGAGCCCTCGGACTGCGTCCGTGGCAGGCTGGAACGGCCTACTGTCGACCTACACGGCACGACTCGGGAGAAACTGAGCAGGACCTCACCATCAATCGGATCTTGAGTGCCGGTTGGTCTGCTGTGTACGATGGAAATGTCACCGAACAGAATTTGGAGATTTGGGCTATTGAGAATGCACCTGCGGATTTGATGGATCCACTCGTGGAGGCGGGTCTGCATTCTATCCTATCAAGACAGGCATTTTGCAAGAGTGATCGAACGCGTTAGCGGCAGGCACAGCAGTATGATTTGTACTGCTGGGCGAAAGACTCTGCGGTGGATTTTGGTGGCTATGCCAGACCGAATTACATGTTGCGACTTGGCTTACTTATGCACGCTGCTTCTGAACGCAATTTCTCTCGCTCTGGCCTCACAGGCACAGCTATGCAACTACGCTGGTCGGCAGTGGACCTTCTCCCGCTGGTGGCAAGATTGCCCCGTCCTTACACCTGGATGGCACACAGTCTGAGACCTTTGAGCAGACTGGGCCAGACAGCTTTCCCAAGGAAGGAATTTGGATCACAGATAGCACTCCGCCATCGATCTTCTTCGTGAGAGCAGCAGGGGTGAAGACTGAGGACCTTAAGAATGGCTTGTCCATGCTCTCCAGTGTCAAACCTTGCTCTCAATGTGCCAGCTTTGCTTGCTTTGTGTGTTGAGTGGCGGCATGCCTCCGCAGGACACATTGCAAATCACACTGCAACTGTCAGAGCCTGGCACAGTGTGGTGTCTTGCGCTGAGCATGTGTGGAGATGCTGGAGATGTCTTGTTGAAAGTGAGGGACAGCCAGAAGCTAACCGGCTATGCGGCTATGCATGAGCTATGTGTCCTATGTGCCAAGGTCAAGCGTCTGAGCCGATCAACCGCTCTGGGACCACGTACTGCCGCGAGGATGAGATTCACGAGTCCGATCCCTCGAGCGCCTGCTACTGGGAAACCTTCGTCAAGGGGTCCACCGTGCAGGGCACCAGCTTCAGCGCGCTCGTCCACGAGGCCTTCACCTATGTCCAGGTGGAGGTCAACCGCATTTGGAGGAAGACCATGACCGCTGGCGATCCCCTCCTTCCGGACAGGGATGTCAATTTGGGGCTAGACTGAGCCACAGTCTCGACCTCTTACAACCGATTGGGGCTCAGCCCTGCGCACTTCTTTGTTGTTTGGTTGATGCTGCAAGAGAGACGTCTTGCCACACGCTTGCCGTCAAGTGAGCAGCAAGACGCTGCATTTGCGGGCAGTGTTGCAACAACAACATAGCTGGAGCCGCACGTAGTCAGTCAGGGCAACACGACATGTTCACTTCGAGTCATGTTTGCCAGGCCCTATTGTTTAGAGCCGAACATCTAGATGTGTGTGCGTGTTTGTGTCAAATTCTAAGAGGTAATTGAAGTGGGACAGCAGCATGGTAGCACAGACTCCACGCATGATCAACACTGGCGATTTCTTGTAGACAGCAAATTGCAAGGCTTGACAATCCACGTGCTCCTATGGTAATGGTGCACAGTGTCGTTTAAGCTTCAGAGCTTTGCCATAATTGCAAGCTTTTTCCATATGAAGGAGACGGACTACAAGATCTTCTGTTTTGCAGAAGATGACTGGCCTTCACAAGCGCAGACAAATTCAAACTCAGCGCGAATCTAAGCTTGATCTGCACATTATGCTGATTTTTGCTTGGAGTGACTTCACATGCTGTCAAGACTGGCTTCGCTGTCCCATTCGCATGCAAGGTCTATTTCAACTCCTCCAGCCTCATGCCGCAGACAACAAACTTGGCTGCGGGGAATGCCTTTAAGGACTGGTCAGTGCACAGTGGAGGGCATCCGGTATTCTGCGCATTTGCCTTCAGGAAGCTGTGGGCTTGCAGACCACCCTGGACCTGAGTCCTCCAAGCATCTCAGTATCAAACCCTGCGTCCTTGGAACACCAAATCACCGTCAGTGTGAATCTCTCGGAAGCTGGTACGGCCAGGAGCCCAGGAGGGTTAGCCTGGTGTCCATCTCCGCACTGCCAATCGGTCACGAGGGATTCACGAGCCAAGTCCGCAGATGAATTTGCTTAGGCTTGGTGCCGCCCTGTGCGGCAAGACTTTGCCATGCCTAGCCTTTTGGAAATCCTGGCTGCCAACTTCATCGCAGAGATGCTGGTGGAGCCATTCATGGCCACTGTGACAATGACAGGGGAGGACGCAACAGTGCCCTTGGTTCGCGGTACAAACTATCAGGCCGGGAATTTCCGGCTCGGCCTGCCCAGCATGGCTCTAGTTGTTTGCACACAGTTGAGAAAAGCACTTTTCCATGCTGAAAAGGTCTACTGTTACGCTGAAGATGACTTGTGTGGCCAGCTCAGTCCAAGAAAGCTTTGCCTGACTGCTGTTCGCGCTCGTTGGAAGACAAGGCGACGGCTGCCACAGCCCTTCGGGCATTGACTCTGCATCGATTGCCGCTACTCGAACAGACATCCGTACTCTGGAGCGCAGACTGCCAAGTGACTCCTGTTTCAGCCATTTGTCTCTTGGGATAGCTCCTGTTTAATTTTTGGGTAAACAACAACATGGGCCACATATTTGTTGTCCCGAAACGCACTGCTCACGTTTGCATCTCCCAGCCTCACAGTTCCGGTACATGCCGCGTGGTTGCAGGACACCACCCCTCCCGGTCTCAGAGTTGTGGATGTGCGCTCCATCGCCAAAGACACGATTCAAGTTTCTATTCAGGCGGATGCGATACATGCAACATGAGCCTAGCGGGTGAGCAGAGTGTGCAGGCAGACGAAGGTGTGCGCCTGTGGTGTGCTGTCCTGGCCTCGGCAGGGATGCTGTCTGCCAAGAAGTCAGTAAGTCATTGAGCCTTTCAGTGCTTTGCCAAGGCATGGCCATCTGGCGAAAGCCCGGTGAACGAGACAGATTTCGAGTCGACCATCAAAAGCGCGGCATCCTCAAGCTGTACGGATTCCTGGGGTCGAGCCTGTGGAAGCTTTTGGATATACGACTCGGATGATGTGGAGGACCGGCAGACCCTGGTGCCCAAATGGGTTGTGTAGCACTCCAGTGGATGGGAAACTGCTGCAAGCAGCTCTTTTGTCCAGGACACCAGCTTGGACGGGTTGTCCAGCCTGACGGAATACAGGCATTTCCAGACCTGGAGGAAGGATGAGGATGTGACTATCATGCTGGGTGGCCTCATTGAGGCAACCGAATACCACGTGTACTGCTTTGCTGAAGACGACGAGCCGGACGGTCGCGACCTCGGGACCTTCCTTCCTTCCTTTCTTTCTTCCTGTCTTTCTTCCTTTCTTTCTTCCTTTCTTGTCCTTCCTCTCTTTCCTGCCTTCCTCTTCCGCTTTCCTGCATGCTTTAATTCCTCCGTTCCTCCTTGCCTGTCTTGCTTTTCTCCTCCTCCTCCTCCTCTTCCTCTTTTCCATTTCTCCTTGCTAATTCCTCCCTGTCTTCCCTCTTTGCTTTCCTTCCTTTCTTCACTTCCCTCCTTCCCTTCATTTCTTCTTCCTTTCTTTTCTTCTTCCCTTTTTCCCTTCCCTTACTCCTTTCTTTCCTTCTTCCCTTCTCTGCCTCTCTTTCTGCTCCTCCTCCTCTATTCCCGCAATACTTGCAGAGTGAGAAGTGTCAGAAAACACAAAACGCTGGAAAACGATAGGGGACTCTCAAACTAAGTAGCGAAACGGCCGCAAGCAAGTAATTTCGATCGTGCCTCACATAAATCAAGAAGCTCCCAGGTGTTGACATTCTGCTGGGGTGTCGACATCCAAGGTCAAGGTTCTGAACCCAACAAGATGAGCTTTGCCACTGGTCCCGCTTCCACGGTGGCTTCCATTCAAGCTGCGCTTGGAAATGTGACGACCCTGGATGAGACTCCGCCCGAGTTCACGCAACTCGCAATTCAAGATCCAACGGCTTTCAATGACCGCATCCAAGTTACGTTTGCGCTGAATGAGCCGGGCACGGCATTCTGCAGAGCTACGCGTTCAGATTCGGGTGAAACTGGTCAGGATATGTACATAGGTTGGATTCAGACAGCAGGCTGGTCAGCCGAGCATGATGGATCGTCTGTGACTTCCAGCATCAACATCACCAAGCTGGAGAACTTAAATCCACTGGAGACAAATCGCGATGATTCGGATGTTCCTATTCAGGAGGTGCGAAGGAAAGTTAAACCATGGTTTGCTCTTTTGCAAGGAAAAGAGCAGATCAACGCCTTGTAATTTGCCCCGTGCAGTGGCGCCCTGTCGCAGCCTGCTCCCTGAGGCCCAGCAATACGATGTGTACTGCTGGGCCATGGACAATGCCGTGGACACCGCTGGAATGCCTCGACCCAACTTCATGCCGCAGCGCTACGTCCTTGCGGAGGTGAACTCTACAATCTCACCAACCGGAGGTGGGCTAGGCAACGCGGTAGCCTGCACTCACCGCATTTTGCCAGGTTACACCAAGGGAGTTTGGGTGGTGGATACCTCACCTCCTGGCATGATCTTTGTCACCTCGGAGGACGGAGCGTGTTGTCCGCTTGTCCCGTGCAGCTCTGCAAGCATGACTTTGAGTATGCGAGTTACATCTGAAGCGCAAACTTGCGAGGCCACATCTTCAACAAGCCTGCAAGTCACACTTCAGCTCGACGAGCCGGGGACGGCAGCGCACTTGATTCTACATCTTCCAAACGTTTGTCGCCTGCAAACCTAGAACCTAGGTTTGGTGTCAACCTGGTGCTGGACTCAGACTTTGGCAAGCCGGTCGGGAGTTCAGTGCAAAGCGAAATCAGGGGACGCAGTGTACTTGTGAGGCGATCTTTCTGGCCTTGCAACTCACTGCCAGACCTCAGACGTACAAAATGTGTCTGCCAGTGATGACTGCTACTGGCTCAACTTCATTCAGGGCAATGGCTTCCGCGCCGATGCACATGAAGCCTTTGTGGACGTCTCCATCAACATGAACTTGCTTTATCCCATTGGGGCGAATGCAGCAGTTCCCTTGACAGCTGAGTCCGAGTATGAGATCTTTTGCTATGCCGAAGACGATTGGGTGACACAGGCTGGACTTCACATCAACGGTGTGCAATCAGCATGACAGAAGTATATAGGGGGTATGTTCACAGACGGAGACAAAGGCAACATGTGGAAGACTGGAAAAGCATTTCAGGCCAGGTTATAATAACCGGAACATGCAACAGTACATTCAACATGTATGCGCCCTACTGCAGGCAACACTTCAAAGCAGTTTGTCCCAATGGCTGCTTTGTACAGCAGGTAGTCAAGTAGCTTACATTGGCGCTGCAATTTGTCGAGCTGGTTCAGGCGAACAGCGCTGCAGCATCTGTGAACTTTGTTCCGGTTACGACTCCAAACAGTGTCAGCTTTGCTGCCGCCAACGACATGAGGACTTGCTTATCTGCAGGCTGCAAGTTGGACGTGACTTCTTGACTTCTTGACTTCTTGACTTCTTGACTTCTTGACTTCTTGACTTCTTGACTTCTTGACTTCTTGACTTCTTGACTTCTTGACATCGAGGAGCTCAATTGGCATCCAAACCACTCTGGATGCCTCGCCGCCGATCTTTACGAAGTTGGCAGTGCAAGATCCAACCGCAGAAAGCGACAGGCAGCTTGCGTTCAACTTTCCTCTTGGCGAGTGAATAAGACTTGGTGCAGGATATCTGTGACCTTCTCACTGAACGAGCCTGGCACCGTCTACTGTTCCGACCTGAGTCAAAAGCACAGGACAGAGAGTGTTGGCAGTAGATGGGTTTAGTCAAGTGTTCAGCGAGCCTTTTAGCCAAAGCTGAAGGTCGCGCAACTAGATCTGACTCTGGAGAGAGCGGAAGTGACATGACCATCAATCGCATTGTCAGTGCGGGTTGGTCAGCAGCCCACAATGGAAGCGCCGAGCCGAGCAATCTGACCATGACAAGCATGGAGAGGGCACTGGGCAGCATCCAGAATTTCGACGAAGGGACGCAATACGACGTGCTTCTCAGCGCAAAGATACATGAATGTACAATTGTTGAAAACAATAAGCGTGACACGCGTTTGGCAATTCCGGACCCAAGTTGTTTGGCTTCCAAGGTACTGCGCGGCAAAGGACAGTGCTGTTGACAGCCGCGGCTTGGCCCGGCCCAACTGGATGCCATGGAGCTACGTACAAACTGCTGGAGGCTTAGACCACTTTGGTCCAACTTCCAGCTGCATCATTTCGCTCGATTGAAGTGAATTCCTAGAGCAATTCAGGCTGTGGGCTCTCCGGATTCTCCAGCTGGTGGATTCACCACAAGTGTATGGGTTGTCGACACTACTCCGCCTTCGCTAATTCTGGTCGATGCTTTCGCCACCAGCTCCTCCTCTCTTCAAATTCGATTGCAACTGGATGAGCCGGGGACCGTGTGGCAGCTCCCCCAGTTGTGCTTTTGCAGGCACAGGTGACGGCATGTCTGAAGTTTGCTAGTATTCCTGGAGTTTTGCACCTGAGGTGTGCTCCTCTAACCGTTGACAATGCCACGTTTTGCACGCTTGACGACATGTCCGACATCACTGGCAGCCTCTGCCACTTTGAGCTCTTCGTCAAAGGGCAGCAACATTTGCAGGCCTTTTGTGTGCATGTGGGAGGCATGCTGCGTCTTATGTGTCTTTGGTCCCTCATGGCGTGCAGGCCTCCTCCTTTGTGGAGGTCTCGGAGCCACACAGAAACGTCGATATGAAGGCATGGCTTCCATGTATTGTGCCTACAGTCAGTTAGAGAGGTAAATTATTGAAGGGGTTTACCAAATGTATGAACTTCTTGAACTTGAGAGTGAATGAGCTGCAGAGGTGAATCGCATATCGACCCGCGACGAAACGGACAACTACGAGTTGGAGTCCGAACATCGATACAGGATCTTCTGCTTTGCAGAAGATGATTGGCCACTGCAGGCAGACTGTGACAATGTGACTGACATGTTGCCAAGTTGCATGCTTATGCTGTGGGCTTTTGCGTCCTTTTCAGGCCGCTGCTGCGACGAATTCTCCAAACTTTGTGGCGCCCGTTGACCCTTTGAAGATTTCCTTTGCAGATGCCTTGGCGTTTGCCAACTTGATAGGATCTCTCTACACGCTTGATGAGTCACCACCTATTTTCACAAGTTTGCATGTACAAGATCCAACCATGGCCAATGATCGTATTGCCGTGACATTTAGCCTAAATGAGCCTGGGACAGCTTATTGCCGCGCCACCCGGTCCGACTCTGGCGAGACCAGCTTAGACATGACAATCAATCGAATCCTAACAGCGAACTGGATGGCACAGAATGATGGCGTGAATTCATCCACAATCGTGATTACCCAGCTTGAGAACGTGGACCCGCTGCTTACCAATCGGGATGATGAAGTGGACCTGATATCGGAGGCAACGCAGTATGATGTGTCCTTTGGCTGATGGCATTGCCAAGCTTGGTGCAGCTTCAGGCATGAGAGAGGGAGAGAGAGAGAGAGAGAGAGAGAGAGAGAGCGGGAGCACAAGCCAAGGTACTGCTGGGCTCAAGATGCGGCTGTGGACACCTATGGCTATCCCAGGTCGAACTATATGACCATTGATTACGTACGTTCGGAGCTCGGTTTCGTTTGGCTGAGAGGTTGGCCATCGGTGACTAAGGGGCGGATGTGCATTTGGCTGATGCACCACAGGGTGGCCGCAGCCCAGGCGGGGAGCGGAAGGCCTGACACCTGTGGCAACAATTCCTTTGCCTGAGGCGTGTGGGTCACGGATACTACACCGCCCACAATGATCTTTGTCAGGGCCGAAGGAATCTCCGGGGATACTGTTCAAGTGACGCTGCAGCTTGACGAACCTGGAACTGTGTGGTGTTGGCAGCCTAGCTTCAGCTTTGCCATCTCATTCATCATAACTCGCTGCGCGTATCCCTGCGATGATGTGCATTTTCCGCTGCGAGGTGCGGCTGTGACCACAGACTCAGACCCTACCTACTGCCTTCATGGTGAAATGCCAGCCGGAAGCTTCTCAACTGGAGGGTCCTGCCCATACGAGACAATGGTGAAGGCAGGACTGAGCAAGGTTCACACAGATTGAGACATGGCCAGGCCACGCTAAGTCCCTGTTTTTTTGCCGGAGCAGGCTGTGCTGCTTGAGATTTGCATCTCTTGCCAGGGGGAAGCTCTCAACACCAGCTTTGTTGCAGAGGTTCATCAGGCGTCTGCTGCGGATCATGGCTTTCTTGCCCACGAAAGCTTGGGATTGCAAGGATGTGGAGAACTATTCTTAGCATTTGTTTATAAGTCACAAGGGCCCCGTTGATACTGTGCCAGGCTCACACTTCAGTGCAGGTGGATGTCAACAAGATCCTGCGCAAAGACCTGTTTGCTGCCGACTCGCTCATCCCCGAGACGAGTTACTATGTATACTGCTTCGCCGAAGATGACTGGCCTGCAAACGCCGCTGGTGCGTTAGTGCACTCACAATCATATGGCCCTGATCCGCAACAACCCAACAAAGTGTCGCTGGAGGATGTCTTGAACTTCAGTGGGCCTAGCATGCTTTTATTGTTTTCTCAGATGTTTTCATGGACGAGCTCGCCAGGCAATATGGAAATGCTTCCGACCACTTTGGATGTGGCTCCTCCGAGCTTCACGATCCTGGAAATCCAGGACCTTTGCAGCGTTGTTCAGCATGATAGGCTTCTGTTCGGTGGCTTGTTCATCTCGAGACAGAAAAGACGTACTTGACAAAGTGGTTTAGCAGGACCCTACATCACTCAACTCCCGCATTGAGGTGACCTTTGCATTGAATGAGGCGAGGTATCAATACCAACAAACAGAATGGGTCGGATAGTGCGGAATGCGCTGAGAGGCTGGCACTGCATACTGCCGACCGGTGCGCAGAGACAGCGCAGAGGTGGGGAAGTCAGCCGCCCTTGGAACCACTGTCAATATCATCATGGTATTCCATCTCTCTTTTCAGAACCTCATGTGGCTTCAAGCACAATGGAAGCAGTACCGTTTCTGAGAACTACAAACAGATAATGAGTAATGCAGGAGTCTAATGGTGCACTCCTTGGAATGCCCATTTTCTCGGACGTACAGCAAGGCCGCAGCACCACTGGAAATCAACCACATCATCAGTGCTGGTTGGTCTGGTATCCACAATCCGCAGCTGGCTGCGAACGGCACCATCACCATCAATGGGGTGCAGCAGTCGCCGCTCCAGGACAGGCAACTCTGTAAGCATTGATGCAACTTCGAATTTGTGATGGGCGCCGGATTTTCGGAGCATTTGTTTCCGTGCTTGGCTTTGCGCGGAGGAGCTTGATGAGGCAAAGCAGTATGACGTGTACTGCTGGGCAAAGGAGAGCCGGTTTCGCAACGGGTCGAGTAGAGCAACTGTCCGGCAGGATGAAGCCAAGAACAACTTTGGGTATGCCCGACCACAATACATGTCGCAGCAGTATGTGGGCACTCGCCTCGGCTTTAAATGAGTCTTCCACTCAAGGAGCTGTTTTGATTTATGTTTCGAGAGGCACTGACATTGGCAACACAACAGCTCCTGTCGGGGGCAAGACCAGCCAGGCCGGCAACACGTTTACAGTTGCTTTCTGCCATCCCGTTTTGGAATGAGCACGAATTCAGAGCGTCTAGGTGTGGGTTGTGGACACCACGGCGCCTACGATGCTGTTCGTCGCCTGGGACGCCCTTGACGAGCACACGCTGCAAGTGACGCTGCAGCTGAGCGAGTTGCTGCCTTGGGGTCCGATGCATGCGCGCACGCGTGGCACGCGTGGCACGTGAATGCGTCTACGGAGTCTAGGCATGTCGCCCTGAGGCCAGGAACCGTATGGTGTCAAGCCGCCTCGAACAGCTGCCAGCAGGACTCCCAGATCGCACACACACACACACAGCTCCACATCTAATCTTTGCAGCCGAGGCTGCAAGATGCTGATCCTTCAGCGGACTGCTACTTCGAAACTCAGCTTTGGCCATTTTAGGATAGCGGCTGAATTTGAAGCCTGAGGAGAGCTACATCAAGAATGCCACTACGGAGTTCCGCAAGGAGGCCATGACACAAATGCCACAGGAAGGCCAATCGAGTGGTGCAAGAAGCCAGGTGCACCAAGCTTTCAGAGATGTGGAAGTGGAGGCGTTGGGATTTGTCAACCACTCCATTGTCATTCTGGCACTTGAGTTGGGTGTTGCAACAGGTGAACAAGATTCCTTTGCTGGGCGACGCGGCGGCTTGGGAGGAGCTTGCACCAAAGACAGGTTGGCTGGCAAGACAGTTTTCCTCTTGAGTGTCTTGATGACCTGCCAAAGATAAGTCTGTGTTGGGCGGGTTGCGGAGTTCTGGCTGTCATTATTGCAGGTTACAATATTCTGTGCTTCACGCAAGATGACTGGACCCAGGAGGCGTGGGCATGGAACGTGTGCTAGCGACCTTGCCCAGCCTTGACCCAGGCCGCAAGCGGATCCCCGAATTTTGTGGCTCCGCACATGGATAACAAGGCGCAGATGGCAGACGCACTGGGAGTGGCGCCAGCTAACCACCGACTGCAGGTCAGCCTGAGCGAAGTGCTTGCCTTCAAAGACGTGATCGGAATAGCGACCACGCCAGCCGCTGAGACTTGCCCGGCCTTTCGGCCGTTTGAAATAGACAGCAAGACAATCACCAACTCATCAGGTAAAGAGCATACAATATATAGCGAAAATGAGTCTATTGTATAGTTGCCGATGCGGAAATCATGTTGCCTTTGTGGCACACGTAATCGCAAGCACAAGCACCACACACACAAACACAAGCGCACAAGCAAACACACGCACATACACACGCACATACATGCAAGCAAGCACACACACACACATGGCTACAGTCCCAAAGCACACAAACCGCACAAAACACACCTCACAGACGAACAACGCACACACACACACAGCGCACAACCACACACACACACAAACTACAAAATCGCAAAATACAAAACACAATGCGAAAAAGCACACACACACACAAACACAGCGCAGACAAAACACAACCCACAGAAAACACAGCATACCCAAAACATGCGAAATACACAACAGACCTCCGCCACCAGCAGCAGCAGCAACAGCAACAGCAACAACAGCAACAGCAACAACAATTGCAACAGCGACAACGGCAACAACAACAATAACAGCAGCAACGCCAGCAGCACC